TACTTTGGGTTGTTCAAGCACAAAAAAATTTATTTCGAAGGCATTCTTCTTTTTGTTAAGTGTATGCTGCGCCCAATAATCTTTGGTGCGAATTTCGAACCACGAACATACTCCGGAATAAACCATAAATGACATCGGGTCAAAATCGGGTGAAGTTCGGCATTGTATTGTTAGCATCAGTCACTCACTTCGATAACACATGTGGCTTCGCCTCCTAGAAGGCAGAAGCCACAAAAAACCATCAGTCACGCATTCTACAGCCATCAGCGTACACACTGGGACGGGAAAAATCTAAGCCCGGGCGTAGTATAGGGGTATTCAACGGACACGCACCTAGAGCCAAAATGGTGTGTAAGTGTAACGGAAAAAATTATAGGACATTTTAGCATGAGCATATATGGTATATCAAATGACATAGTGTTTTCCGGCAAGATGTAAATTTCAGTCGGCCTCCATATGGAATGACAGTGGATAACTTATGTTTGTTGTAAAACCGCATGTCAGCCTGCTTTATCCTGAACTGATAATGAGAATGCTACCATGCGTTTTCGTTGAAATTTTGCGAGGAAATGTTGTTTTCTTATACGATATTTGCCAAAATTCTCTCGTGCCCGTTATCTATTTATTTCTTTTGTGCAATGATTGGACAGATCAAGAGAATATAATTTTTATATTCCTTTTTCAACAGTCATTCCGTACGGAAGCTGACTGTTTTTTACATTTTGCGCAGGGAAACGTTCTGTGTCATTTTATGAATCAGGTATGCTCGAGAAATGTCCTTAATTTTCCGTGACACTTACACAGAATAATCAGTCCTAGTTGCGTGTCCGCTGAACACCCCCATATACTGCGTTAATTTTGCCCCTTCGATTTCAAGCGCATGCAACGGCAGCTGTGTCGTCGTTTTTAGCGACTTTAAAGTGTTTATCAACAAAGGAAATAGATCTCACTTAAAAACAAGAGTGAAATGAATTAATTTGTAAAGAAAGAGCTTTCAACATGAAAGACACATCGGAAAACCATCCAACCTCACGGCAGTCTGCACGTCCAGAGACGACAACAAATCTCCGACCTAAAGGCACATCTTACTCTTCTCGCCATAGTCAGACACGACCTATAACGAGTAAGTATAAAGTTGATTTCCGTATACCTTTATACTCGATTCAATGTTTATTCGTTTGATTTGGTGGTGTAGTCTTTGCAAAGAAGTCGATGATCATTTGTTTACTCTTTTCACTTTGCAGCTGACGTCGAGGAGACACCTTCGGCAGAGAGTCAGCGGCCGGGTGTGAGGCTGACATCACTTTCTGCCCTGTACCAGCCCGCTTTTAAGCCATATTCCTTCACTCACATGTACGACACAAAATACAACAATGATTTTAAAGGCAGATATTGGCCGCCTCCTGTGCCAAACAGGTAAAAATACTCGAGTATTTAACTACAGTGCCTGAGCTACTCTAAGTGGTTGTCATAGTAACGCGGACGAACGCTTGCCATATTTTGGCTGTAGCAACTTCCAAAGGGTAGTTTACAAGCTAAATTAAAGGTATTGTGTTAAAGAAAATAACACTAAAGCAAAGTGTTTTCAAATATTTCTACTTGACATGGAACAAATGGTCATGCTTTCGTCGTAACACATTGCAAACGTGAGAGTGATGCGAAACATTAAGGTCATTTCAGCGATTGAACAGCTTTATGGTTAACCTGAAAACCACCCCGGTTTGATGGCTTAGTTACTCAGATATCTTATAGATTAGTCTTTTATGATATGGGAGAGTAAAACCTTTTCTTGAAGCCTTTGCAATCGATCGTCTCATAGCTAAAGTAACACTGAAGTTCGTCGAAATATAATTTGTTTAGCCTTTGTTGTGCTGTACTATTCACAAATAATTTTATAAGGCGCGGTGATTCTACCTCGAACTGCTTGAACTAGAACCATTTCCTGCTAAAAGAAAAGTTAAGCCCACTCTCTTTCCCGAAGTACTAATCGGAAGGTTGTCGGTTCGACTCGTAGGGGGAGCACTCGGAGTTCTTTTTCTCCGAGTATGCCTGAGCACTGAATAATTTCATATTTCAATCTCTTTCCCTGATCTCTCTCTTTTCGGAGACTGAATCAATAGTTGAAAACATGGCAGCGCTCCGTTGTCCGAAAAATATGCTTCATTTATTTTGGGACGACCGAAGCGTACCTCAAATTATTTTGAACTTGTAGGCTCACTCGTTTGATTATTCTTTATGACAAGAGGAATATTTAAAAAGTTTACATTTACATAAAAAATTTGCTCTCCAATAGCTGCTATTAAATTGAATAGAGTTATTTCTTTTTTCAGGGTTTCTTCTGCCAACTACGCTCCAATCAACTACAGATTTGGCTCCACGACATACCAACGACACTTTCAACAGAGAAAACCCTTCCCTACTGCGTTTGTAATTCCATATTCTCGTCACAACAACCCCCAGCCAAACATGGTCAACTCTTATAACTGTCCGGATGGAGTAAGTTGCCAGCTTTTTTTTTTTTTATTAGCAGTACGCGCCAGGAGGGATTTGAACGTGGCACAAATCTTGATGCACGTGTCGTCTTCCAGTCGATTCTAATTCTTTTTGCAAATCCAACCCAATGCGTATCCGGTGCCAAGATAAAATACGAACAGTACCTCCTTTTTGGCGAAGGCGGCGCGCGAGTCAAATCTTAGCAAATCTTGCGCAAACTTCACCTCTTTTTTTTTTGCTATTTTTTTCGACTTGCGCGACGCCGAAAAGGAGGGACTGCTCGTTGTCCAAAGCCAAGAGGTAATCCTTTTAGTACACCTCATCAGGGACTCCTTATATGACTTACAGAATTGGAACACATCGTGGTGGGAAGATGAAAGGGGCGGGGGAGAAAGTGGAAATGACTGACTTTCTGGCTCAATCTGATCTTACTCACATTTCGACAGGTGAAATGGATATGGAATCCTTCCACAGGAACTATTGGAAACGCTAATGGAGGTAGGCTTTAATTTTCAAGTGAACATGCCCTGTTTCGCCCACAACAGGTAGAATTACATCTTTTTAGAGCTCATTCGCTCGGAGTTTACCATGATACGCGCATGTAGTTCCGCTTTTGGTTGTAATAATATAATTTATAGACAGGTAAAACAGTTTCCTTCTTCGTCTTCATTTTCAGGCGAGACACAAGGGAAAAACAGGCTGCGGAACCACAGATGGTATTCCAGATAACACAGAAACAAAAAAAAATTAGCTTGAATGGTTTTTTTTTTTTTTTTGCATTTGAGACTGAAAGCAATTTCTTTGCTTAGAGTTGAGATTTATCTTTTAAAAGAGGTGATATTTTCAAAGCATGCGATTTTTTCTTCCGTCCTTAATGGTAGGAAGATCTCAAAAACCTACCTGGATGCTATTAGCAGCTTCATACCAGTGTAGAATAAGATTTAAGGACAATAGCTCCCATTGAGGAATGTGATATCGTTTTGCAAAATTTCCATATGAGATTTTCAGGGCCGGAATACACTAAACGACGTCAAAGTTCGTGCGGCAGTGCCTTAAGTAAAAAGAAATATAATTTGTAGATAAGTTCAAATAAAATGCATATATTTTTATTTTGTATTTACGCTTGATTTCTTTTTGTAACTTAATTGGTTCGTCCTCACGCTGACACATCTTCCTGCTGAAAAAAATAGTCGTAAAATGAAAAAAAAGAAATGCGCCGTTGAGCTTTAGACTCTTAACCAATACCTCTACTCCGCGTTCGTACTAAAGGTTTACGCGAACGTTAGAGGAGGAGGCTTTGAATCGTCGATCTTAGTGATAACCGATTTAAATGGCGAAGGAGTACGAACTTAAAATTCCGTTTCTTTTTTTCACTTTATTCTGTTTGCTGTTAGAATCATTTTCCAATTCCAAAAGGTTTTTTTTAAATTTTACTTTCTCTGACTGACAATTTTAATTTCCGTTTTGAACACTCCTCTCTTAAAAAAAAATAATTCACCTTACACTTTTTGCTTTTCAATCCGCTACGCGTCAAAATGAGCTGAATGACTTATTTCGTTTTCGCATGGCGCGGTAAAACGGAAAGATAACACAAGCGATTGAACACAAACCTTCAATCAGCCTGGAAATGCTTCCAGGCAGCGATTACCTGCAAAATAATATCGAAGTTAGACATAACAAAGTGCTTGAATTAAGCTTGAAACAAAAAATTCAATTATCGAGGTAAAATTGGATCCTGTAGACATTAAGACAACGAAAAATTTTGCAAGGAGGCTCGTCGAAAATAAAAAAGAGAACAAAAGAATACAATACAACCCACTGAGTAAGTTTGTCTCCTCTTCGGTGACAACCGCAGCGAAAGGTTCTCCTTGCTCGAATTGGATATCAAAGGAAGAGCGGCATTGAACGCAAGGTTTGTTTATTCTGGAATGCAATGTGGAAATATAATTGTACTTACTCGAACCGACAAAATTTGCCACTTTTGCATTTATTCTTGAAAAACCTCTTATTAAACACTGATTTTGGGTGTTATGCAATTATAGCAAACCCGTTGGAAAATGCCTCGTTTGCATTCCCCAGGACTCAGTTGTCCAAAGAGAGGATACGCTGTAAAGAATAAATCACTGTTCAGTTGATAGGAGTTAACAAAGCTATCCACCACAGATAGAGATAGATTTATCCAGTGGAATGAGATTATAATCTCTGGGCTTGCTTGTGGAATCTGTGGATAGTCTTATTCTCCCTTCGAACAACCGGGGCCAGCAGCTCTGTTAATATTTAATCATACACAAAAGATTCAACGCAGATTCATAAAATGATTGTTAATTTTCCATAAGGTATTATGCGGTGACATGTGTTTCTTTTCCAATTTTACATCCAATTGTATTGTTTGTTGTGTGCGTGGGAAAATTACCGTGTGCATCGTAAACGCGCAAAACTGATATGTCGGTGCGCAATGCATCACAGTTGCCACGTCGCTAAGAACACGTCTACTGCGCATACTCAAACATCTGCATTTCGTGGCTGCAGGCTGGAGTGAGATTCACAAAATTCTCGAAAAATTGGGTGCACTCACGCTTTTCAAAAGTGATTGACATAACCCAACTGGATTCCACTCAACAACGACCCATATTATAGGTTTTAAATGTGTGGTAGGTAATGTCTGGAGGAAGGTTACCGCCGAGTCATAATGCGTTCTCGGTTGGTCAACAGCAACCATACCTCAACCACGGTGGTGTAAATAGTTTTGAGTCTTCGCAAAATCATGGAGAATTTGTGCAACCAGATAAAAAAGGAGTAAGTCAGGAATCTCAACACACGTCTATTGTCAATAATCAGACTCAGAGTGTTTCCCAAGACATGAACCCGGCTTCGAAAGGTAAGGAATCATCTATTGACAGATTGAGTTTCATCAAGTGAAGTAATGTCACAAGGTTCTCCTCAGAAGCCATGTCGATTTCTTCTTGGAGGTTGTTAAATTTTTTAATCGTCTCAACTCGGATAATGTGGAAATGTTAAGGTTATTTCTTCAGAAGATAATTCAAATTGTACTGGTTGATTTGCTTAGTTATTATGTCGTCATTAGTTTTAGTAGCAGGTTACATTCGATCAGCTGGTTGTAACGTAAAGCACTTATTCTTTAAATATAAACCAACGAATAAATTTCCAGATTTGGTTTCCTTGCTGAATTATAAATCCATTTCTTTACCACGCTAGCTTAAACAGAACATGGAAGACATGGTATCGTGGCCGGATATACGTGTACAATTCTACCTTCTTTGGTTACAATGTCTTTGGTAATTCGTTCGTGCCCTGTAATTAAATGCGGAACACTTCAATTTGTTAGCTTATGTATAAAGTTCGCTCTGTAATTTTATGGTTGACATAGTTCTGATTGAACTTTAAAGGATTGTTGTTGTAGATGATATACTTAGATTATTAATGTAAATCTGGTTGTTAATGCCTCTGAGTTAGTGAACTCTTTTTCATGTACTTTAAACATTCCAATAGTGCTATGTCACATTATCTTATACTTGATTTCCATATATCGTCCATTGATAACCATGTTGAACTTTAATTTTAGCTGTTTTACACTCAGGCAAATTTCTGCAATATTGATCAAAGAGCTAAAAAGCCAACCATGGAATTTTTTCAATTTATATAATTTTCTCCTTTTGTTTAGGTTACCAAGCTCAGTACCCAGGCCAATGGCCTACATCTCTATCACCAGGCCATAATCAATACAGAACCAACCCTCCAATGGTTAATAACATGGTTGGCGCATCACCACATTCTTTGAATAATTCTCATGAATCCTCATCAGCATTGCCACCCAACAGAAGTCCAATGAATCTGCAAACTGGTCAGTGAATATTCAATCTCAGCAGCTAGTTGTTGTTTTTAAGTTGTTGTCATAGCATTTGAGCTAGTGATGACTGTCAGACTGTTGTGGATGATCTGGGAGACTGTCCAGGTCAACCAGTGTCAGGAAAAAATTATACAGGTGTCTTACTTATATTTCTGAAAAGATAAAAAAACTAGACTTAAATATCTTTGTGACTAATCACTCTTTTTTCACTGATGATGACATATGCACATTTTGTCCAAGTGCTGGTTATCCTCAACCACAGCAGGACCTCTATATAGGTCTGTCCTGTTCTGGATGATTGACCATTTCAAAAGGAGTAATTTATTTTGAATTTCATTCTGCCTACATCTACACTGTCTGAACTGATGATACATCAAGCCAAGGTTCTTTTAGTACAGACCTCAAAGTTATTTGTCTTCATGATACTTTTTTGAATGTAGATGAAAGGAAGTGGGTGATAGTTTTAATTTAAATTCAGAGTAGGAGTTAAGCACTGTCAGCTCCTCTTTTGTTTTACCAAACTTAGATAAGTTGTTTCATTTTGTTTCAGGGCAATCTGGAAATCACTCTCCATCTCCTAATGCCATTGCTAATGGTCCTGTCTCAGGAGTTGGCCCCCCTATTGGAAGTTCCTCTTCACAACCTAGAATGGGACAAGCTGTACCAAATCTTAGTGCACCCACCCATGGACAGTCCACCCCACCTTCAGGATCTGCTTTAGCAAATGGACCCTCCCTAAATTCCAATTCTCAGCAGCAAACTGTAATTAACAATACTCATGGAATGCCACAAACTGGTTCTGCTTTCACTCCAGTTACCTCCCATTCAGGGCAATCATCACTGTATCAAAATTCATCCTCTATGCCACCCCTCCCAAGTCAGTCACGGACTGGGTTGCCTGTACACGGACAGTCAAATACCCCACCCCAGATGCTCCAAGTTGGACAGAACACAAATTACAGTGGACAAGCTCAAGGTTTTCCATCTGGTTTATCTCCAACCATAGGCCAACCAGGTTCTCAGCCATTGTCAGCTCTTCATTCCAATAAACCAAAGAGACCTACAATGCCAATGACCACAGGACCTGGTCATCCAGGGCAGGGTGGGAGCCCATTGCAGAGATCAACACCTCCTCCTTCAGCTGGTTTTCCAGGGTCAACAATGGGGCAGCAGATGATGCCACCCCCTCCAACAGGTCCAGGGGGTGCGACACCAGGTCAGAGTCTAACCCCACCCCCTCCATCAATGTCTCCAGGATCAGCTATGCCACAAACTGGTTTTAACAGTCCACCAACAGGATATTCTCCCACTGGACAGGACTCTCAGGCTGGGAGACCCATTTCTTCGAGGAGGAGGATGTACCCTTCTCAGGTAAAAGTTTGAAAGTTAAACACAAAGATGTGCTTTAAAAGGAGATGTGCCTTAGGTACCTCTGGATCATTTGTTAATCAGCAGTTGTGGTATACAGACCTCTATATTTAAAACAGCTTGAGCTGCAGCTAATCCTATCATAATTAATGAATTTGTTGAAATTTGTATCTCCTTCTTCCCATCAAAACCCTCTTCATTTGTGTTGGAAAATTTAAAAAGATTCACTTTGCCATCATGTAATATTACTAAAGCTTAATTTGCATTTGAGCTAAAACCAAGGGGCAGAACCAACTTATTTATAGCGCACCTTCTTGTTTTTTTTTATTAACACTTATTTTGATATGTGGGCGATAAACAAGTGAAGATATGACTTTAGTAGATAAAGAAATTGCATAAAACTCACCTTAAAAGTAATACCCAACTATTATCTGGGAGGCAGTGGTGCAAATCCTGTTCAAGCTTGAATTTTGCTGGCTTCGTTTTGGAAATTTGATTAACTCTCTCCCAAGATCTGATTGTTAATTCTCCCTTCTAGCTGCTACACATTTTCTTGTAAATAGGTTACAAGAATTTGGTGTTAGATGAAGATAACAACTTCTATCTGATAAGTTTGAATATTCTGATGACCTATTTGCTGGATAATGTTTAGATATTATAGGGAGAAATTACTTGGTAATCTTTTCTGGAAGTTAAAGGGTTAAATTACAGCTCACTACAGGATCTTGAATGTTGAAAATGTACTGCTCACTAGCCACTTACATCTAAGTTCAAATGTTATCTCAATGCTCATTCTCTTGTATGTTTTTTCTTATTATCATTTGTTGGAATTTGTAAATTTGGTTAACCCTTTAACTCCCAAGATCTGAATGTTAATTCTCCCCTCCAGCTTTTACATAATTCGTAGCAAATATTAATAAGTTAGGCAAATTTGGTATTAGATCAAGATAACAACTTCTACTGGATAAGTTTGGGTATGCTCATTTGCCCTTTGCTGGATAATGTATGATTATTATGGGGAGAAGATTCATGTTAATCACTTCTAAGTGAGTTAAAGTATTAACTTGTTTTATTGCCAGCCAATGCAACCTCCAATGCCTGGGCCAGGTGGAATGATGAATGCTCCTGGCCAGATGAACCAACCCTATCCAGGTCAAATGTCTCCTATGGCTCAACAACCACCTGTTGTAAGTGTTATGTGTTCATTTCCAATATGTTTAATATTGCCCACTTTTAGTTGAGGACTCCAGATAGGGTGGTCCACTTTTGAGCCCTTGAGAAGCAATGGTGTTGCATTCTTGGGCAAAGCACTTCACTCTCACAGTGCTTTTCCCTACTATGAGGAAATCTGGAGGGAATACAATTTTTATTCCTCTCCTGGGAAATTGCTATCACCTCCCTTTGGTTGGATACAGGTGCTCATTTTCTATTCAACTCTCTTGCAAAGGAAAAATGCAATAGTTTCTTCACAGCTCTGTAAGACACATACTCTTGAAATGTATGAAATAAAATTGTAATAATGTCTCAAGGTTTTTTTTAAGGTTTTAAGTAGCTGGACCTTTTTTAAAGGTAAATGGTTGTGGGTCTTGAAATCCAATATGGCGGAAAAAATGTCATATTGTTCATACTTTCCTGCCACAGTAGCAAGATTTGTCAAAAAGACAGTTCTCATCAGAACATTTTTAAACTAACCTTGAGTCAGAAGTCTTTTTATGTTTTCAGAAAAGATAGGCAGTGCAAATTTATATTTTTATTAAGCCCAAGTTTAGACCTGACAAACATCATCTCTGTATGGGTTCTTGAAGCAACGAAAGTAGCTGGCAAAACCTTGCAGAGAAGCCGGTGTCCTGATGTCTGTGTTATGTATTAACTTCACAATTTTTATATTTAGAGTGGTAATACACAACAGTTTCCATCTTCTGGCCTGGAAGGTCCAATGGGAAGACTAACTGTGCAGGTATGAAAAAATGCCTGTACTTTGTTTGGAACTGCTGCTTTCCTAAATGATCAAACCAGAAAAACATGTGCAGGTCTTGACCCTTTAACTCCCATGAGTGACCAAGACAGAATTTCTCCTTACAATATCAATACAATATCAACCAGATAAGGGATAAGAATAAAGAAAAATATCAATTTGGGGATAAGTAGTTGATCCAATACTAAATTCTCTGAACTAACATTATAAGAATGGTATGGTTGACAGTAAGAAGAATTACAAATTTGATCTGGGAATTAAAGGGTTAAGTCACTTCTCCACATCCCTTTGTATAGACTGGCTTAACTTTGTTCTCTGTGGTCCATTTGGTAGGCCAACAATTCGAAGATTGGACTGGTTGGGTTATGAATCCTTCCAAATGTTGAACATCTCTCTTAACCCTTAAAACCCTAGGAGTGATTTGCATCATATTTCTCCCTGCAGTATCACAATGGACCTAAACAGTAAGGTCATGAGAATAAGGGAAATGATCAACCAACACTGAAGCTCTTAATTGTTGAACAAATTCTCTGTATCAGTACCACTGGAAGTGTACAGAAGACAGTATGGAGAATTAGGGTGTAAAGGGTTGAATTAATATTACTTGTAAAGTTACGAAAGGAAAAGGTTTGGCTCCTCTGATTAGCAAGTTCATTTATTTATTAACTTATCTTTAACAAAAGCCAACAAATTTTAAGCACCTTTTTTGGTACTCAGCGTCTATATATCAGTGTGAAAAGTCCCCCTTATGATTACAAAAGCTTAAACTTATTTTCTGTCTTGTTTATTTTACAGCAATCTTCAGCTTGTCAACCCATTAATCTTTTAGAACAAAGGCATGTTCTTCCCCAAACACCCATTGAGCAGCCAACCCCTAATTTACCTGGAGTGAGTACTGATGTTAAAATTTGTTTTGTTGTCTGATATCTTTGGCGGTTTTGAAATAGTTTGTTGGTATTTTCTGCTCGTTAGATATTATTTTACTTGTGGCAGCCAAGAAAATTAATTGTTGAGAGAGTGTTATTATTATTTTGTACAGTAGTTACCTAGGTTTATTTATATTTCTTTGGGGTTGTGAATGAATAATCTATTTTGCCTTTTGTTACCTACAGGACCTACGGAAAAGGAACTGTGATCCAAGGTCAGTGCATTGATACTAAGATTCATTGTGTTTGCATGGAGTGGTTACCCCAGCAGGATGCAGGGATCACTTGCAAATATTTCTTTTTGTATGGACCTCTCCTTCCCCCCTCCCACATCACAACTTTTGTAATTTCGCTTCCTAGGGAATCACCTTATAAGTCATCAATATCATTTGATAGTGTCAAAACTCATAATTTGTGTTTTCCATTTTGTTACTGGCTGTGAAAGGTCATGGTGAGCTTTACCGTCCCTGTGATGTTTCAGAGTATCTTGGGCTGATTTGTATTAAATTAGATATCAACTTAACTGAAATATGTTCTTATACTGAGCAGAGCTGTTATGGATTTTCTTGACATTTTTTTTTTCCAGTGTGTTGTGTTGCACTGTTAATGCTGTTCCAGAAACCAAGAGTCTGTTGACAAAATCTAAGCTCCCACTAGGAATTCACCTTCACCCTTTTAAAGATTTACAGGCAAGTTTTTTAAAATCACTCTTCTTCATGAGAACCTGCTTCAATTAGATTTTTGTCATATTCAGCCCTTTGGTTGGGTATTGTATAATAACTTGAATTTTAGAATTCTAAACCAGCTAAAGAGAAAGTAATCAAAAAATGACTCAAGATTTTGTTCTTTTCAACACTTTTCATTTGACAGGTGTGTAGAAGTGACTTACAACAATATCAATGTTATTTCTTCAACAGAACCTTCCAGTTATTCATTCTTCTGTCATTACAAGATGTCGTTCCTGTAGAACATATATCAATCCTTTTGTAACCTTTACTGACTCTAGAAGGTGGAGATGCCCAATGTGTTTCAGAGTAAATGAAGGTATAATATTTTCTTTAAGTGTTTGCAATAAACACCTCCCTTGTTTCCAGTAAACTAGTTTTTATTTATTTACTCCTGCATCTGTCTATGTAATATACAGTACAGCTCAGAGGTACTTGGCCCGAAATGCATGCAAAGGGCATTAAAAAAAGCATGCACAGGCATGCAATTTTTCAAAACACACTCAAAAAACCTGCACAAAAGAAGCTTATTAGTATTTATAAGGCAGTCTTTTGTTTTACCCTTTGTTTAACTTTAAATGGTGTGTCAGATTTATTGACAAAGGAGGAATTCTGATGGGGGATTCTGACTTGGTTTTGTCCTGAAGCATTTGGCTTCAGTTCATTTTCTGAAATGACTTGCCTTAAACCTTGGCAGTAAATCTTTTTTTTTTCCTTGAAGAATACTGTTGATTAGGCACGAGTAAAAATCCGTTGTTTGTTAATTAAGAGCTTATTCATACTGTTTTTTGGTTCCAGTTCCAGAGGAATTCTGTTTTGATCCTACAACCCGACAGTATGGAGATCCATCCAAGAGACCAGAAGTGAGGAATGCTACAGTGGAATTTATAGCACCATCAGAATATATGGTGAGCTATTTTAATTTATTATTAAGTAATGTTTGTTGTCTTTGTAGTTCTATTGCATAGCTCCCAGAACAAACCAGTAACACCTTGCCATTATGTCAGTTCATTATCCAGTAATTGCAATATATTTGAAGACAGTAGCAAGTGTAATAGTTAAAATGTAGAGTGTTGTCAAGATTCAATATGCATTCTCATGTTACTAAAAAATCAATTTACACTAATGTTGATAATGATGTTTGAGTTATAATTATGGGTTTTGTACGATTTGCAGTTAAGGCCTCCACAGCCAGCAGTATTTCTGTTTGTTATGGATGTCTCCTTTAATGCAATAGAGACAGGTAGGAGTTTTTTTATGTTTCTTAATTTCAAAAGCTGATGGGTACCAAAATAGTGTTGAAAATTAACTTGCTGTATGAAAGCAGCTCTCATCCAAGTGTATCAATGTGTCCAGATCTGCTGATTCACCTTTTCTTAATAAAATTACTGTTTTTGAGCCCAGTGTTAGGTTTGTCTTTTGCTTTTACTCTACTGAATTGAGTTGCATACATTATATCATCTGAACACATATGTACCAGTATGTTCTGTTTTTAAGACCATTTCTTATGTTTATTAGAATGTTGTTTTGGTTGTTACAGGTTATCTGCATATGGTTTGTAAATTACTGAAAGAAAACTTAGAGAAAATGCCAGGAGATTTAAGAACACAGATTGGATTTATAACATTTGATAGTACAGTTCAATTCTACAGTTTAAAGGTGAGAAAAGCCAAAAGCTTACAAATATAGTTCCAAAACATTAGTTTTTTGTGAAAAGCAAGTATAAGATGTTAATTTTATGGGGTAGTTAGTGGAGCTTATTTCCAGGGATTTCACACACTCTTCTTTCTGTTGAGTTGTGAAAAACCAATTGTGACCCTCCACGGGAAAACGGACACTAACGCTTTTCCGTTTAAGCTGCAAAACCGTTTACTATCCGTTTATATCCGTTTAAACGGTTCATGAAAGCGTTTAAACGGTTTGCTTATCCGTTTAAAAAAATTTGCATCCGTTTAACGCTTTTGCGGTTTAAGCGGTTATGGCATCCGTTTAAACGCTCGAGTTAACCGTTTACTATCCGTTTACAACCGTTTTTCGAGACCGTTTAACGGAAAAGCGTTAGTGTCCGTTTTCCCGTGGAGGGTCACAATTTTCTCCACCGGGAATAGCCATGTCTGTCAATTCATAGATTGTAGGGGAGAATGAAAGGAATTAAGATCAATAAGAGAGATACAGTGTACATGTAGAAAGACAGGATAACTTGGATTGGATTGGTCTTGTTTGACTCTCCCTGATTGTTAGAAAAACGTCCTTTTTGTTTACATCAACATGTGCTTTGCATTCTTACTGGATGCTTGGACATTTACCTTCATTTTCATTTTCAGTTAAAAAGATACCTTGGTTATAGTTTCATATCACTTTGTAAAAGTTTGATTAACTAGTGTTGTTAAACTTGTGTTAATTTTTCCCTCTAGTCAAAGCTTTCACAACCTCAGATGAATATTGTTTCAGATTTGGAAGGTCAGTTCAAGCTTTCAATTTTCCCAAAGTGTTTTATGTACGCCGTTAATGTATCCTGTTTGATGGTGGTGTGTAGTAACTGTAATAGCACCTCTAGAACTTATGTACTTTAATTTTTTTTCATAGATATTTGCAGTCACTTGCTAAGTTAACACTATATATGTTTTATTACAGACATTTTCCTTCCATCTCCTGATGACCTTCTGGTGAATTTGAATGAAAGTAAAGAGGTACACTGAGTGATTTACTGTTTAATAATATCTGGGAATTGAAAACAAGAATGCATAGATAGATGATCAAATTGATTGCTGTCAATGTAAGATGAGTATGCTACTATTGGCTTCACTTTTTTTGGTGAATTTTTTTTTTTCAGCTTGTAACTCAACTGCTGGATTCTCTTCCAACTATGTTCAACAGCAATCACAATGTACACAGTGCAACAGGTGCAGCCCTACAGGCTGCTCTCAAATTAGTGGTAAGTCAATATATGTAGCCATTTTTAGAAATCATAGGAAACTTGTAAACAATTTACTGTAACAGTGTTGCCAAACCTATTGGGACTTTTAAATTTACATGTTGATCCTGCCCTCTTAACTAAACCTAATTTATGGTTAATGTTGCCCTACTTTGGTCTTATGTAGAGTTGATGGATTTGATAGATGCAGGTCCTATGTGGCTAGCTTTTCAGGAGTGGATCTTGGGGAGGGGTGTAAGGAGTGCCCCCCCCCCCCCCAAAAAAAAAAAAAAAACGGTCTGCAGTTCTCTAATATAACTTCAGAGTTACACAAAATCTGCTGTATCGTTTTCTATGTTTTCTCAGGAGTGCATGTTATGTTATTGACCAGTCATAAGCCTTCTTCTTTGTTATTCACTTTTGAAAATTTTTACCGATCACCTGTCAAAAATCATGGATCTGCCCTTAGTTATTTTTTTACAGTTTGAACACCTGCTCTCCTTGGTACTCAATCCTGTGTTTTCGTTTGTCTCTTCCAGGGCCACATAGGAGGTCGTGTGACACTTTTTCAGACAACGTTGCCGAACATTGGCCCAGGACAATTGAAGAAGAGAGAGGATGGACAGAAATCTTCTCCAAAGGTAATTCAGAAACACATGAGACGTTTTCGTTATTATCAAATTACTTAATTCTCATTTCTGCTAAGAGTCCCCTCGGGGTGGACAGCTTTGTTCTTGAGCAAGACACTTCACTCTTACTGTGCCTCTCCTTACCAAGTAGTTTAACCCTTAAACTCCCATGACTGACCAAGGAAGAATTTCTTCTTACAGTGTCAGGACCACATCAAGCCGACAAGTAATGAGAATTGAGAAAAATGTCAATTGGGTGTTATAAGTTGATCCAATGCCAAATTCTTACGAACTAATATTATAGGAATTGTATGGCAGACAGTAAGGAGAGTAGAGAGGTTGATCGGGTGCCGATCAACTCTCAGAAAAACTTGAAAAAATGCTGATGGAGTTGTGTTCCATCCAGGAGGAGTCACCTCGTGCTACAGAGTGAGCACGAGCACAGCCAGTTGTTGGCCACGTGGCCACAAAGACTTAACCTCCTTTGTCATTCCATTGTGCTTCTCTATACAGCAGTAATATAAACTTTCAAATTGTACGTGATTTTGATCTCATAGAAGCAAAGTATTGTATTACATGTAATTATTTACATAGGAATTTATCTTTGTCTTTTATAGGATGTCCAGAATTTAACACCAGCTACAGATTTTTACAAGAAGTTTGCACTGGACTGTGCAGCTGAACAAGTTGCTGTTGATCTGTTCTTGCTTTCAGGACAGTATGCTGATATTGCTACCTTAAGTAAGACTGCTAGTCATTTTAAATATCTTTATTACTCTTGTGTGAGTGTTGTTTTTTGAAAGCAAAGTCTGCAAGCATTGTTTTGTTCTTACCGAAAAAAATTGTTTGTTGAACATTTTAGTGTGTGCGTCAAAGTACTCTGGAGGATCCGTCATGTATTATCCTGACTTTCACGCGTCAAGGAACCCTGCTGCAGCAGAAAAATTTGAAAACGAATTTGTGTAAGTAACCTCACAAAGCTTGCGAGCAGGCGCTCATTCTAAACGATCCAGGACGTGCGTTTCTCAACCCGCGGGAAGCTTTGAGGCGAGTCGGGGAAAGGTTTGCCAGGAGTCTCATTATCTCTGCTAGACTCCTTGCAGACCTCGTGCCGAAGCGCCCGTGCCGAAGTGCTCGTGCTTGCTTGGGGGCTAAATTTTACGCAATAACTGTGTGGCCTGTTAAAGTTTTGGAGTAAAATAAAGGTAAATGTTCGGTCTTTTTTTTTTAGGCGTTATCTAACAAGGAAGATTGGATTTGAGGCCGTTATGAGAGTGCGTTGCACAAAAGGTAATATGCGGCATCAGAGCAATTTTAACCCGTTTAATAAGGTATTCAGTAGTTTTTTTCCATTTTATTCTCTCTACTTGATCAAAATCCCTTTGTTTTCACCCAGCCCGAGAGTTTCAAAAAGAAGGTAGATAATTTCTTATGGGATAATGTCTAAAGAATAGATGTCCAAGAAGGAAGCAGTAGAAACGATTCATGATTAAAACATTAAGACCAAAACAGAAACGAGTATGTGCAGTCAGTGGTCAGTGGTCAGTGGGTACTCGTTTGGCAGTGTTTCGCTAGGGACCCGCAAATGGATTTAGCAAGCTTTCAAGGGTTCAAATTTCGAAGATGGGGTTTGAATTTCGAGATTTTTTCCCACTAACGTCACCTTTTGTCACCAGGGCTTTCAATCCACACCTTCCATGGAAATTTCTTTGTACGCTCCACGGACTTAGTTTCTTTGCCGAACGTGAGTCCTGACAGTGGCTTTAGCATGCAGATTGACATTGAAGACTCGCTGACAGACTCCAATCTGGCTGTGTTTCAGTCTGCTCTTCTCTATACAAGCACCAAAGGTAGTTTGATCCTTAAACACCTGTTTTTCGTGTTTGTGTTTAAATTTACTTGTCTTTTACAGAGATATCAATTGTTAACAACTCAGGCCGTTTTCTTAATCTCAACGTTGGTCTCTGCGTTTTTTACAGGTGAACGGCGCATCAGAGTACACACTCTTGCTTTGCCGATCACAAACAAGTTGGCTGATCTGTACGCCACTGCTGACGTACAAGCCATTGCCACCCTGCTTGCCAAAATGGGTGAGTCAGCCTTACTTTTTATTCCTTCGTGTTTGTTGTTCGACCTATTAAACAGATCAAAGAGAGCGTTTTAAAGCTGACGTTTCGAGCGTTAGCCATTCGTCAGAGTACACACTCGCTCTGATGAAGGGCTAACGCTCGAAACGTCAGCTTTAAAACTCTCTCTTTGATCTGTTAAATAGGTCGGCCAACAACGGTGGCCAATTTAAGTTATTAACTCAGTTGATAGTACCAAATTACCTTTTTATACTCTCCTACCGACGCAGCACCACATTTCCCTTGAGAATCTTAACCCCTATATTCAGTGATCAAAGATAGGATTGCTTTGATATGTCGTCACTTCTTTCCAAGATGATATGTTTACCTGCTATATTTAAGACGCTTTTTAGCTTTTTTTTTGATTATCATGCACTTTTCTGAGAGTGTTGTTTTTGTTGCTGTTTTTCTCTAGCTGTCGATAGGACACTGACTTCATCCTTAGGGGATGCTAGAGAGGTAAGTACAGTGAACGCGGACTATTTACTAAACGCTCAGTCAAAGAGCTCTCGTCGAAAAGTGCACATAGTAACTCATCTCCACTCACCCCCTTTCAATAGACGATAGAACTCACTTTCTATTGGTTTACTGGCATAATAACCCGCAAAGGATATTGGGAGCACACGAGAAAAGTTTATAAAAGACAAGCCGGAGGCGTGTTCAAGTGGATTATTATGACGATAAACCTATAGAAAGTGCTGTTTACTACTTTTATAAAATAAACTTCAATTTTTTTGGGTTTACCGGTGCAATTAGCGATAGGTTTTTGACCAGTCAGGGCGCTTGAAGTATATCGGTTGTTTTATTAGGTTCAATTTTGCCTAACTGTTATTTTCTTTTGTTTTTTCCTTTAGGCTTTGTTGAACGCGTGTATTGACACTCTTAGCGTTTACCGTTCCTCGGTAGCGAATCAACCACAGAGTAGCGGACTGATAGCGCCCTATTCTCTGAGATTACTTCCGCTCTTTATCTTGGCTATCATGAAACACGTATGTAGGACAGTGGACTTGAATTTTGGGTGTCTTTTACCTTCCTTTTTGTTACTCTGTTGTTTGTCCTAACAAGCGTGTTTTGTAAAAAATTGTTAAAGAGGAAATTTGCTAGAATCGATTAACAGATCAGGACTCGGGGTTCTTGGGGGTGGTTATACTTATGCAAGTTCTACCTGAAAATGACTTTTCACACATTTCCTTTGTGGAAGTCAAAATCGGACATATTCTGTCTTGATAAGTGATATTGCTTAAGAGAACGATCTAGTTTGAAAGGGGCTTATGAATGGAGCTGAACGTTATATTTCTAGATCAGTAGATGTGACGTTATCAATGTTCAATTTCCGTATGAAATATTGACATTACAGGAGGAAAATCATTTTGTAGGTGTCTGTTGAATGTGGCTCTACTGAGAGTTTACCCACAATAGTTTTCATCCGCTTCTAATGTTCTTACATGTTGCATTTTCAGATGGCGTTTCGTCTTGGCTCGACCTCTCGTTTGGACGAGCGGTGTTTTTCCATGCAGCAGCTTAAAGTTATGCCCCTCAATTTGGTCATGTTATCTATATATCCAAAAATGTATCCGATACACGAATTGTCGGATGAGGTACGCGTAGTGTTTATATTTTCTTACTTCTTTGTAGCGCCCTTATCTTGTATTTCTAGAGTTTAATAGACAGATTAAGACCGCCAAAAAGAATATCTAAAATATCCGTCGCGGTTGGTAAACTTAACCAAGTATACTACTTTATTTTCTCTTCCCCAGGGTGCTTTCCAGACTAAATCTGGCCTGGTTGCTAAGCCTCCAATTTATCACCTGTCGGGCGAAAAGCTTACCAGAAAAGGAATATTTCTTCTGGACGCTGGTCATGTGAGTAGATTAGGTTGTAACTTGTTGTTGTAAATTATCAAATAGGGAAACAAGTGAGATTAAGCGATATGGTTGTTTATTTGTTTGTCTTGTTTCTTTTAAATAGGCTTTTTACTTTTGGGTCGGACGAGATGCCCCTATTGATGTCATCCAAGCTATATTCAATGTACCAAACTATGGCAGCATTCCAGAGAATATGGTGAGGTTAATTACTAATGTTATTGTGGAAATTTATCTTGGCTTGCTATTTCTTTGACTTTAAGAGGTGGTGAAAATTCATGGTATTAATGCTTGTTGTCTAAAATAACTCAGGTCGTATTTTTTTTTTCAACTTCGTCAGGCAGTCGGTAGTCATTGCGATGTTATTTTTGAAGAGAAGCTGTTTGAAATCGGCATGGAAAGTTGAATGATTTTGGAGCGCATTGTAATTGTGTTTCGTAACAAAAACCAATCATAATAAAGGAAAATAGCATAAGGAACCAATGAGAAGGCAGTAGAAGAACAACAAGGCTGCCTGGCCTTTAGAAAAGGAAAACACTAGTGACACTATGGGAACTTGCGTCTGGTGGATGAAAGTGTGGCGTTAATTGTTTAGACCAATCATGGAGCTGAGTGAAGCAAAAGCAATGAAATTTTGGACAAATTCGTCTGACATCTTCAATAAAAATTTTGGTAGCCAAAATAATCACGAATCTGGATCCCTGTTAAATACGTGATTAGCGAGTAAACTAATCTAGGTTGATCACTGATGTGCCCTTTATTTTTTTCGTCACTTATTAGGGATCGCTGCCGGCGCTGGAAAATCCTCAGTCAGAGAGAGTGAGAACATTTTTAGATTATCTACAGGCACAGCGATCCTGCCATGCAAACATCTTTGTTTTAAAGTAAGTTCCACACCGATCAACGGTGACCATTACAAAAAATAGATGGAGTTAACGGAACAGGCCTGTGAATGGTATGAGAAAGATTCACTATTCGTAGAAGAAAACTAGACGAGGGTAAATCTTTGTGAGTCGCTCGCAAGTTGCCCATAATTTTGTGTACTGTCTTCGGAGTAAAACTGTTTGCGGTTACGAACAGGTACATGCATCTTAGCTAAAATTTCTTCCGATGATCCCAACGTTTTATTGGTAAAATAGATTATAGATTGGATTCTACAGGATAAGCCAAGCTTAAAGCATCTACTCTTTTTTTACAGGGAAGACGGTCGAATGAGGGGGCTATTCCTCCAGAATCTTGTGGACGATCGTTCGGAATCGGTTATGTCTTACTACGAGTTCCTCGTCCATATTCAAAAGCAGATTTCAAAGTGAGCTTATTTCTTGGTGACAGTGGACTCGGAAAACGTAAAAACAGAGAGACACAAGACAAAATCCCACAAAAAGCGGAAGAATTCGGGAAATTCCGTGAAAATTAATGGTCTGTTAGCTTGAACACTGAAATCATATATTGAAGCGTTACTACTCATGAAAAGTTATTACAGAGGAGTCATAACGGGACTTGTGCCGTAATTCGCTTGACAAGTGAATGAGAAGACAACACATAATGTATCAGTCCCACAGTCATTGGAATCATAACCTTCGGGGGTCCGTGTGATTCAAGCGTTGCCCCCCCCCCCCTCCCTCACTGCATAACTGGTTTCCCATTACCCGAAGAAATAAACTACGCAGGCAGACGGGTGAAAGAAGGGCAATTTAAGGGAAAATCTGGGGAAAAAACTTCCTGGGTGTTACAAGCAGGTGCAGCTTGTTATTTTCCAGAGAATTCAATGGGAAACTTTGTTTTGGTAGAGATTATATAATTTAGAAAATTTACGGTTTTTTATGAATAAATGTTGGAGCACTGCCATGAATGAACTTAAATTTTCTGAAGGCTCTATTTAATTTTTCATATGATTTAAAAGCTATTATATTTTGCACGGTTTTTCAGTTATTCACACAATTTTTTCTGTTCAAAAGTATTCCCCTTGTGAATAATTGTAAGTTTGCCTCACACAACTAAAAGCTAGAACTTAATAGGCTTCGAGGTATTTTCGATCTCTGTTCGTTTTGCCATACCGACGAGTAAACGAACTGATCAACTCCCAAATTGCGAAGAAAGGTTCCACAGGTAGTTGTTATCTGGTGAGAAATTAGAGTCTCGAAACCAAATTTTCTTAAAATCTCTTATAAAAATATTATTATGAGCTACGGATTTTGTTCTTGGAACAAAAGGGACTAGCTCCTTATTCTTTGAGAAAGATTACAGGCAATATTTGATCTCGCTTTCATTAAACTGCACTTCACCATTGAAGAAGTAGATTAAATCTTACGGCTGTTTTATATGTGGTTGATAAATAAAACTGTTCTGTTTCTGTAATGTTCGTGCTGCTTTTTTTCTTTTCTATTTTCGAAACATGGAATAGTAGTTTTTATTTTTAATGACTTATCACAGTAATCAAGAAAGCTGCGTGCACAGGGGAAGTGGCTGCGCGATATTTAAAAACGGTCCAATCAGTAACTGCGGCGGGGGCGGTATTTTGCTCCACCACTATAAATTGAACAGACTACATATTTCCTTGTGGTAATCTTTTTCTCAATTTTCCCAGTGAGATCAAGATAAGAAAGATATTGTCCTGATTACCAAAAACTCCTGGTGATCTTTGATTCCACAAACTTTTTATTAGTTGCGGGACTTTGTTTACCTCTCTCCTTTAATAAGCGGGTGTCGCGGGTCTTCGAGCCCAGTCTCCACCCAGAGTTCGTACTAGAAAATGGCGGCAATCTGCGGAAATACGTTTTGCTGTTTGGAGAGAAGGATATTGCAGGTATTTTGGAGTATGCCGACCATGAAGAAAATCGATATAAAACTAGACCAGTAGTTCGTTTGAAATGTCTGAAAATGGTAATTTTCAAGTGTTTTGGCTATGAAAAGGACAACATTTAAAGGCTTTAATTTTGAATGGCTTAATTTAAGCGCACTGTGATCGATTTTTAAAACAAGGAAGGAATCTTAAAAGTTTGCAACGCAGTGGAAAACAGAGGTAACAAACGCACACTTCATTATACAAAGTTCTAATGATACTAAAATTTGCATAAGAGCAAAGTCGTGTGAATTTTTAACGAGGAAAATTGCATACCTAACAACATAGCATAATTCCGATCGAAAATGCTTTGGTACTTATGAGAGGGATGTGAGAAAAGTCATTTTAAGTGACAGTTTGTGATGAGACCGTTGCTTTGCGTTTTTCAGAAAATACTTGGCTTGCCTTTTGGTTTCATGGCAACCAACAGGGTGGCATTCGAAAGTCGTGAAACTTCTTCACATGCTAATTCGTTTTCTTGGTGCGCCAATCGATCTTTACGCTGCACCTGCCAGATGACAGCAAAAAATCTTTAAAAATGAATGACTTTATTACCATATTTGTCTTTGGGAGGCAATTATGGCTGCTAGGAAAGCCCAAACACTATGTTAATAAGTGACGGCGTTTGAGCCAAGCGAATTTGGCTGGCAAATTTATATAAATAGCGTTGGCGACAGTGAATGAAGATGGCGGTCAATTTAACAAGGCTTCTCGCTCTTTTCAGTGTCTTTTGTGTCCTGGCTGAAACAGCTGGATCTCTCCGTATTAAGAAGTAAGTTTCAGCTTTAGAGAATGCGGCAAGCGTGTGAATTTTTTTGCAACGAAAACTTGAGGGGATTTTCGTTTTGTTCTACAGTGTATCGTCTTGGGCGGATGAGTTGGGAAGAGTGCTGTTTGAGTTCTTCAACAATACCACCCAGTACAGCAAAATTCAAGAGGTTAGTGTGTTGTGTTTGCATTTGTTCTGTGACTCACGCTTTTTATAACTGCTTCTGTATACTGTTAAATAACGGAAACAATACTTCGAAATTCACCAGTTCACGCGTCAAAAAATATTCCTCTTCATTGAAGTGAATAATTCGTGCATGCATCTCTGTCGTAGGACTACCATCAATCTAGTAAGCTTTCGACCATCGATAGAAATGGAAGTGCGATTGCGGAGAAGATGAAACACCGCCTGGAGGGTATTTTGCAAGGAAAGATTGAGTCTATCAGGGTTAGTTTCCGCTAAATTTTGCCGTCTGATCAAGTTGCATGTGGTAAACGGTAGTTAGTAAAAGTGTGGCGTAAAGTGTTAGTTTTATTTTTAGATTGTAAATTTCGATATTCCCCCCAAAAGCGCTAGCGCAGAGTCCAAGGCGATGTGTTTTTTAAGCTGACCACTTTTTGCTTCCATTTGTTGTCTTTTAAATAGGCAGCTTACGAGAATTTGATTTTCTTGTCCGAATTGCGTGCATCCGTGCAAGCACACTGGGCGTAGATAATAATGCATCTTTTGAGGCATGTAGGATACTAACCCAAGGATATCAATAAAAAGAAATCACCATTTTTTTCTAGATCTGAGCGTTTTCTTCAGTCTTGGGCTTTAAAAATTTTATGAGAGTTGATTGGAATTCATGTTTTTAACTGACTTTTAAGTCAACGCTAGGTGTTTTAATTTTGTTTTCTATTTCTTGGTTTTAGCATTTCGTGTTTCAAACCGTATTTCCAACTACACTTTTCGCTCAAATTATATTGTTTGTCTCCTTATTGATATCAATGTTTCTTCAAATGTAAACAAAATTCGCCAGTGGCAAATAACTTATAAATTCGAGTGTGCGATGGATATGCCGGCCATGAATTATATCAAGGCCAAATTGAGTTAGATTGTTTCAATATGCTTTAGAACGAATTCTCCTCTTCACTTTACGGATTTGGAAAAGCATAGAGAGGAAAAATTTATCTATAAATAATATCACTGGGGTATGATTTTTAATGCGGAAACTGCATGGACATTTTTAGCCGAAATTTGTGTTTTTATTATTGTAATTTTGAAATCCTAATTAAGAAGTCTTACATTAATTATTTGAAAAAGAATTGCTGGGAGATTTGACACCTAACAATTGTTATCCAGAAATTATCATGTGAAGTGTTTCTTGAATTTTGTGGCTCAGTTATCTTTTATCAGCCAAGAGTATTGAAAGCCCTATTTCACTGCACCTTAATGAAATACTCTCCATCTTGTCAAGTGTAGACCAAGCATTCATTACAGTATTCATCATCCAATTGGCAGAGTGGTTAATGAAAGAATTTAAGAGTGATCTCAGTCAAGTTTTTTGTTTTGGCGTGGCAAAAATTTTCAATTTTTTTCAAGGGCCATAAAGCTTTGAAATTTTTTGGTGAAAGTTGCCTTTTTTTGAGGTGACATGTATTTTGTTTTGAATATGGAATTTGCATTTATCATCAGCCATCTCATATATTTGATAACAAAATTACGTTGGAGAAAATGCTTTCCATGCTCTTAATCCTTAGCATTCAACACCCTCAGATAGTAATAATGGTTACATAGGAGGTTCCAGAAGGACTCCTTAAAAGGATAAAAATGTAACACATTTAATCCATATCCTAGTGGCTATTGATAGTCCAGTCTAGAGCTCATATTTATAGGAACTTTGATTTTTCCTTGGAGTAGAATCTTGCTTCAAAGGCTGCAGAACTCAGAAAGAATTACACTTACAAGACTGGATCTGAAATTGAACAGGTTTGCATCTTTTTCAATTCCATCCTGTAGAATGAGTGGCAAAACAAATTAGCACACCTTGCCTCTCTGGGTGGTGTACAACCCTCCACTCAATAGGATTAACATTAAAAGAAATCATGTAATTCATCTGTAGTAAATTACTTGGAAGTCCCCCCCCCCAACCCAAATAGGGTTGCTCGAAATTGGTGAGGATTTGTTACCACCTGGCAACATTTAAATGGGGGAGGGAAGGAGATAAACAAATTTTTTAAAAAAAAATTTTAAAAGTAGTAGAGTATACCAATACCTAAGCTGCTCAATCCAGTATTACTTTCAGAATCATGCTGTACTCAGATTGTGTAGCCAGGCATTAAAATTAGTTATTATACACAAATGATTTTATTATTTATTTTAAATTCATAATTTTGAAGGATACTTATCATATACAGAAGGTATGGTCAAGGCTGATTTTGAAAAAAAGAAAGAAAAAATAACAAAGTTTTCTTAGCACCTTACCTTTGATCATTAAAATAATTTCTTCATGGTCCACCTTTCTTCATCGGCATCCCTTGGCTTCAAGGTCAGGGATGTGTCCCACCATGCTTCTCCATCATTGTTTAATTCCTTCATGACCTCAGATTTGCCTGTTCAACTCCTGCTTCCTCAAAGGAAGTCTTAGTGTCATCCTTTTCCCTGAGTGTCCTAATGCAGTAACCAAGCTGGTGGCATTTGTTTCTGCACTTTTCTATTAATTGCTCCTTTAGATCAGCATATGACATAGTATTTAGATATTTCTCTTTTTTTATATTCAGACTGAGTATTTTAACACTAAGGATCTGACAGGCTTGCCTCTGGAAAGAGACCCAAAGTTTTCTGATAAAGTTGCTATTAACAAGTCTAGCAGTGTTGTACACATACCAACTGATGTTTACAGTAGGGGTGAGTGCAGTCTGAGCTTATCAAAGCTGTTCCTCTGTAACCTACTTCTGTAGTTAAAGGCACTAGACAATCTGTGCTTGAACATTAAGAATTGAGGAACTCCTGGCAGGAACAGGCCATCAGTAACCATTGTGGCTGAGTTTTAAACATTCCATTTAACTCTGGGATGTTCCAATTGCTGAAAGGTCTAAAATTTGATTCATGCCATGAATATTTATTTAGTAGTGTTGTTTTGGAGTGAATATTTTATGGATACTTGGATTTGTCTTGGATTTATCTTTGTTTGGTGGTATCTGTTCAAAAGATGACAAAGAATTTCAGATTCCTTCTCTAGCTTAGTTTTTCTTGTGTAGAGCAAAAGAAGTCAGAAGAAAGAGAGTTTTATTGACCAAAGTGAAAAGGTGTAAAGTAGTGTTTCTTTACTTTTCAACCTGTAGTTTATCTCCTCTCTTCTCCCTCTCTTTTTGTGGTCATTGCACAATTGTCTTCTCTATAATAGGGGTGAAAATTCTCAATACCATTAATTGGACGGATGGACTGAATAAATACTTCAAAGAAAATGAACAGAAAGACCCTTCACTATTGTGGCAGTATTTTGGAAGCTCTGATGGAGTTTACAGGGTGTATCCAGGTTAGATTGCAATTTTAATGATTTCATTTTTGTGACCCAGTATTAGAGATTAGCCAAACCTGATCCAGAAAACCCTTCTTCTCTAGTTAAGGGTTGCTCTTTTTCAAGAAAGGGAGTCAGAGAAAGGTGTGGTAGCCTAAAAGGTGCTAATCCAGAAAAAGTACTACTTTAAAATTATAGCACTTTTGCTCTGGGAATAGTTCTCTGCATCCCATCTGATCCCATCTGACTCTTGGACATATTAAATTTTATGTAGCTGTTCTTTTCAAAGCCTGCAAACCCAAGCTCTCTGAGATCCTTAATGTACATTTAAGGTACAATAAGATATCAATAAGTTACCATGAGAAATTTTTTTTTTTTTTCAATTTTGGGGTAAACATTCAACAACTGCTATTCCACATGATTTGAGTCAAACTTGAGCCTGGGAAATGATGTGATGCATGGTTTGGACAAACTCAGCAAAATAATCAATCCAAAGTTGTTTATGATTCCCAGGTTTCGAGTGGAGGAATAGTGGGACAGACGTCTACGACAATAGAAGACGCAGCTGGTAATAAAAATTTGTACCTTTTATTTAACTTCATATACGTATATTGCATCATTATGGATATATTAATTTACATCCATGCAAACACCCGCCAGTAACAATCCAAGCTGGAATCTTTTCAAATACCATGAAAAGCAGCAAAAAGCTTTTGACTAAATATGCTGCAAAATTAAGTCCCTAATTTGACAACCTGTTCTCCAGTGCTGTCAGCTGTCATGTAGCAAGTTGCAAAGTTGTTACACAGTAATAACCCTTTAGTTTCAGAAGTGATTTAACTTTACCCTATGATATCCATACATTATCAAGCAAACAGAAATGAGAACACTCGGACTTATCAGGTTGAAGGTGGTATCTTGATCTAACAAAAAATTTTATAACTAATTTACAAGGAAATGTGTAACAAGTAGAGGGAAGAATTCACAATCAGATCTTTGGAGCTAAAGGGTTAAGTGTTTATGGTCTGAAGTTAGATTCAACATTTGCTTTTGAGAAATATATAAAAAAAAGGATCCTCTGTTGTCATTTTTTTCTTTGGTTGTCCAAATATTAAGTCTTGAGATTTAGCTTTAACTTCCCTAAAGGATTGTCATCTGTGCGTCTGTACCAGCAATAGATGAAAAATGAGAACCAGAATAAAGTGTGTGTATTAAATTCAGCTTATCTCATTGAAGTATGTTGACCATTTTTGATTTTAGTTTGCCAAGTGGTGCCCCTAAAAAATTAAGTTTGGATCCCTGGCTTGCACCCAGTTGTTCAAAGGAGATTTCACTCCCCAACCAAAGGTTAAATTTTAACCTGGGTTTTTTTCTTCTTTTGTTCAAAAGCCTTTTTGGGATAATTTTCCCTATCCCTTTGAGAGCATCCAATAATCATTTTCTAGACAAAGAGAATTATACTGATTTTCTTTTTAAGGCTTTCAGATCCAAAATCAGATTTCACACTAATCCTGGATTGTCATAACCCAGTTTTGAACAATCCAGCCCAGTTTCTTGAAAGCCTGTTCATACATTTACAGCATGTATGAATTACTACATGGTACTGCCTATGAGTGTAGGCTTGAGCAATAATTTTTGTCTTCTTCTTACTGATAGGTATATTCAAGGATCAAGTGCACCGAAAGACTTAATTATGGTGCTAGACTTGTGAGTATAAAGTTTGTAAGAATTTAATTTCATTCAAATCTTTTACTTTATTGTGGGGGCAAGGGCCAGCTTCACTCACACATTTACTCAGGATTCAATTTAACTCTTAAGTGGGGATGTGAAGAAGAAGTAAATTCTTAAGGACTTAAAAAAACTTTTACAAAAATGTACTTACATATGAGATGGGATGAAAAATGTAAAGATACTATGAGACAAAAAACTCACCAAAGGCTGAGGGAATGTACAAGACATGAAAGACTTCAGACATAGCTGAACACAAAATAGATCACGCATTGCAAAAAGGGGTGTAATGCGTGATATATAAAAGGCTCTGTAATTTATATAAAGTGCAAAAATAATGGTGTAGAAATAGTGCTTGGAAAAACAAAAGATATGTGTAAATTAATGGGAATGGAAATATAAAAGACCTTTTTCTGAGAAATAAAAAAATTGCACATTCATCACAACATTTATATTTGTACATATTATCAAGAGTTGAAACTTAATCTAAATGTACTTAATTAATCTAACTCTAATTTAAAGCCTATCTCTCTTGTTATACTTTTTCTCATCTATATATGTTAATACACGATCAGTAATTCCATGTAGTTGTTAATTTGAACAGTAATTCTGAGTTGCATCTACTTCCTCACCAAATTGATTGTCAGTGTAAAGTAAGCAGGATTGTCTGATGAAATCTAATGAATAAATATTTTAAGTATATTCAAAATAATTACAAAATTAGTGTCCTATACTTTTTGTTTAAGTGGTGAATATATTGTCTTCTGACTGCTTGTTACATCTTGTTACATTAGAAGTGGCAGTATGGCTGGTCAAAAACTGTCCATTCTTAGACTTGCATCATTGTCATTGCTTGAAACACTGCAAGAAAACGACTTTGTTAATATTGTTGCAGTGGTGAGTGATTTTAAAATAAATACAATAGTTGATAAACTTCCAGCTAAACCCTTGATAACAATACTAGGTATCAAGTTGCTTCAAATGCAGTTTTGAGATCACTATATTACATTTTGTAATATTTGATTTTCATAAATTTACTCACATTAGTATGAAAAGAGATATATTTGAATCAAGTAGCTTCCCTCTCAGTAACCTTTATAATACTGTAAATTTGATTTTTTTGCCATATGAATATAAAACTGCCAAATGTAACTTTTTAAGTAAAATGTGATGCAGTAACTTAATGTGACTCATAAATCAGAAGCTTAATTTAGTTAATTAACTTGAAAAAAGGTAATTTGATAGAAACAGAAACTTTCATTCTGTTGCTGCTTTTCCATAATTAAAAATCAAACTTGACACTTAAAAAAGGAATTGTTACAATTTATCCTACTAGTGTTTGAAAAATAAAGTCTTAATAAAACTTCTTTTCTTTTCTAAGGGCAAGTTTACATTTATGTGCAGTACAATCATGTGTTTTGTGATTATTAATTAATTTAAGTTCTGTTTTTCTTTAGTATGAAGGAGAACCTGTAATGTTGTGTCAGTTGAAGAAAGATGGGAGTAGGATACCAAATGATGACATGGTAAATATTTGAATAGTTCTAACACTTTTATTGCTCACTGATGTGAGTACTAAAATGAGATTTAAGAGACTGGTATACATCATGATACCTGTTCATAATAAGATAATTTGCCTCTCAAGCAAGCTGTGGTGATGAAATACAAGCTGTTTTGTGCAATCTGCAAGGGCTTATTATACATGAAGTTATGTGTTGTGGTGATGCAGAATCAAATAACTAAAAGCATTATTCTTTACTACAACTGTTAAATTTGTAGGGGAGTTCCCTCCCACCAAACATCTTGCAATTTTAGTATACAATATGGAATGAAATATTACAAACAAAAATCATTCACCTAATTTGGTAAAAATATTTGCATTGCTAGCAAAACAAAAAAAGATAATGAACTACTTTCAATAGAAGGAGCAGAATTCTAACCCTACACTACTTTACCTATGCAACTAACATAAAAGTACTTAAACCTACCAATATAGTTATATCACCATATATATATATATATGAAAGACTAAGTTACATTAGACTGAAGTCATTTGTTAATGCTGTTATATTTTTAGCCTACTGCAGAATGCAGCAGGCAACTGTTGCAAGCCACTGCCCAGAATAAAAAGGTTTGTGACTTTGCTCTTTCTTTACCAACATTTTCTTTTGAAAACTAACAGTTCAATTTCTGTCATCTTACAATGATCTTTATTCAGAGGAAGCTTTTTTGGCCTCTACTTTTTCTGGGACAGTTAAATTTGATAGTTATGGTAGTTATTTATTAGTAAGGAACATTTTATGCTTTTAAGTTTTATTATTCCCATGAGCAAATTTAGTATATAGCTGACATGGAAAATGGAAAATGCTTAAGAGAACTCAAGATCCAACTGGTTGTCAGTTACATTGATATTGTATATCCACACCATTCACACTCTTATTGATTGCTATCCATTTTATTTTCAATAGTTTTTACAGCAGTTTATTCCTCAAAATACTTTTGCTAAGGGGATTGCAAAAGCCAGTACTGGATTTCAATTAGCTATTGATGTGTTGAAGGTAATATTTAATAATGAAGTATAAATCTGATGCAGCAGGAGAATGGGGAGAATGGAAACTTATTTATTTTAATCTTCCTTCTTGTTAGGTACAAATTACAATGTTGTTATTAAACAACTGCAAGCTTTTACAGATCTGATGGTTGAAAATTTTATTATTGTACAACTTGCTATCCCCTTCTCATACTTCTCCTCTTTCCACACCCAATTATTATGATTAAAATTACAATGATTGCTGTTCTTGGCATAATTATTATTACTAGCAACTTTTCTCATCTACAGCTGTTGTTGCTTTCCGGCCCTCCTTAGCTGGTGCTGTCTTCTTCTTCCTCCTTGTTTGCCTCTTTGTCCTATTAATAATCATTCCTGTCATAATTAGAATTACTGGTTTAAGTCACATGTCAAGAGTAATTGAAAAAAAAAATTGCTATTTTTTTCCTTTTTTTAATTAGGACTCAAGAGAAAAGCAGAATTTTTCATCATCAAACTGTACACAAGCAATTGTTCTTTTCACTGATGGAATGGAGGACAGCCAATACAAACTAAGTAAAGAAATATTTAACAAGGAAAACAAAGATGAAAAGGTTAGCACATTTTATCAATAAAAATCAGTAGACTTACTGATCCTTGTCAAGAACAACAGAAAATTAAGAACCATTATCAGCTGAAAAGAATTAATTAAGGCTTTTACTCCTGAGAGTGACCCAAAATACAATATTAACACATTTTCAAGCAGAATGGAGATGAGAAGAAAGGAAATGTCAAGTAGGTGATACTGTTTGATTAAACACCCAATTCTCATAACTAAAATGATAAGATAGGTGCAATAAATAGTATAGAGAATTGATATTTAGATCCTGAGAGTGAGGGCTGGTTCTTTCTGATTGATGACAGCTCATGATGACCTGTTGGAAACCTCAGAGGAAGCAAAAAAACAAAACCTCTTCTCTAGATCTTAGGAGTTAAAAATATTTAAAAAAGTGAAACATTGTTTGAGGTTCATGACTGCATATTTGTGGTGTCCATTCCAGCATCCTTGGAATTAGAACCACAAAGTGTCTGTAACTGACAAACCTGTAATTCTCATCATTCTCATCAAATAACTCAATGTTAATGTAGTGAAATGCGGATTTCATCATTATTTATTTATTATTTTTCATTTCATTTGTTATACAGATCCATGTTTTTACTTACCTTGTTGGGAGTGAAAAAGGAGCCAAGTTTGAGCCATTGAAGGACATTTCTGATACTAATGGAGGTATCTTATGACTCTCAGTGGTTTTGGAAAATATGGGAAGCGACATTATTTGATTTTAGAGAATTGATGATCTCTTGAAAGAGCTTTCAGGCAACAGGGACATTTTAAAGAATTTTCCAGCTTGGAAAAATGCTACAGCCCAACTTTTATCAAGCTTGCAACTCTTGCACCATTATGCCTTGGTATCAGTAGGGAAAGCTGGGCAGAATTTGGAATTTAAAGGGAACAAGGGAGAAATTTCAAATTGTTCATAGGGTTATGCCTCTTGGTCATACATGATCTTGGCAAACCTGAGACTGTTCCACAGTCAGGTTGACAAAGTCAACATTTAAAAGCTCTAAAAAAAAATGTTCTGAATAAACAGAGTAATGTACTTTCTAATTTTATTTGAACAAAGGTTGCTTGTTTTATATACAAACCCTCTCAGATGTCAGGGAGAAAGTTCTGGTGAGTGTCATGGATTGTCCAATTTAGTGGTTAAAGCATAAATTTGATGAGGTAGCTAGGTCACCATCATGTGTTTATTTGATTTAATTTTTAAATTGACAGAGCAGCGATCCTTGTTATAAAGACAGAATCAAACCCAGATGATACATTTATTTTGCTCAACGAATGAAACTGTCTAAAAATGTATCTTTTCTTTCTTATCTTTGTCAGTCATATGTATCAGTGCTCAGTCGTCCATTAGCCTTTGCTAAGGGTGGACCAGACACATCCTGGACCCCAATTTACCTTGATCAACTGGTGAGCTGTATTTTGTTTAGTTACTTAAATTCTAGATAGTTTCCAATGGTTATTGGGAGGTCTTACAGCTGTAGATCACTTTTTTCACAGGGTGCATCTCATCTTTTGTAATATTAAAGGAAACACTGGCTTAGCTCGTTCTGTGCGCCTACAGAATAAATGTTTTTGCCCTACAGTTTGCAAAGATGTGAAATACATATGACTGTGTGACCTTCAGTTTACTATAGTGTGTAAGAGGGTACACTTTCTGCTTTCTGGTCTTCTTTCAGCATTTTCTTTCAACGCTTTTCTTTCATGCGATAAACATCCTACCAACCCTTTATTTCCCATCCATTCTGTAAATGTAAGACCCCTTCCCATTCTTTTTTTTTTCTTTTTTTTTTTTTTTTAATCTCATTTGGATGGTAGGTACACCTGAGCCTGAAACTGTACAAATTTGTGAAACTGTATTTCAGGTTTTAGAGCGGATTGACAAAATTTCTTATGTTCTGTTATTTTTCATGTGTAGGGACTCGGCTTAATGATCACACTTGTGGCTCCAGTGTTTAACATCACCAGTCCTGTATGTAAAATGAGATCACCTAGTGTAATCTAAACCCCTTGGTCCTGGCAAATATCAGTAGACTTCGAGCGTGAAGTAAAAAAAATCAGTGAAAAAATTAAAAAAATATGTTAGCGCGTTGTGCGGAACTCTTGGGGTGAGGCGCACGAAAAGGACAGGGTTCCGCGCGGTGGGTTAACTGTATTGCCCCTTTTTTTTCCAATGACTTTTGTTGACTTGGACGACGGACTTTGCCGGGAAAAAGGGGCCTGCTCGTTGTCTAATGTATCAGCGTGCTACTGAGCTAATCAAAAGTGTGAAGAGTAAGAATGCACCTTTCTTGATATCCTGACATTCAAAGTGCTTGCATGAAAGACATACGTTCTGTGAAAAGATTTCTAACTTTCATTACAGGAAAGGATTATTATAGGAGGGAACATCTTTTTTTTTTTTTTTTTCTTCTATTCAGGTTTTTTTTTAGGCCTAGGGGTGAAATTGCCTATTCTGAAATAACCATACATAAGGCCTCTTATGACTGGTCTTCTGTTTTGTTTTGTTTTGTTTTGTTTTTTTTATCACTTACATGATATCAGGAAGATAAAGGACAACTGCTGGGAGTGGTGGGAACAGATATGCCATTACCACAACTGGAGGGCACTGTCCCATTGAGTGAGGTTGGTCTCTGCAGAATGATAACTAACTGTTAAACCGAAAACGTTCATTACTCAAGATGTTAGTTTCGTAAATTCCGGATGCAATTATTTATTTATTATTATTGATGATCAAATGCCCGTTTATTATGGCTGACCAAACTCTCTTGTTCCCTCTCATATTCAGGTCGGGGTGAATGGGTATGGCTTTGCAATAAACAACAATGGCTTTGTAGTGTTCCATCCAGGCCTCAATAAGAAGGTATGAATCCCTCTCTCCTTTTGTGCCTCATCTACCTTTAACTGTTACATAAGGCTCTTTTTATGTTAAATTAAAGTAATAGAATTTATGATAACAGAATAAATGTAAGACGCATTATTGTATGTATATTAGGAAGGCTTATGTAGAAGAGTAACTTTTAGTACGAAGAGTAACGTAAATGGTAAAGAGGTGAAATTTTATTTCAAGTATTAAAGCGCATAAAATAAGAGTAACTATAACTCTTTTTTACCAGTTTTTTTGTGTAATAAACAGAAAAAGTTTCTTCTTAGCTTAAGACATTTCTCTTAGAAGATGTTTCCATTTGAAACATAAAATCCTTGACCACATTTCTTTGTCAAATGGACCCTGACGCAAAGTGATCATTCCAGCTGTGAAAAAAATATTATTCGACCTTATAATGCATGGTTATCTTTAGCCTCTTCTTGCCTTTGCTAAATTTATCTGCTTTAAAAACTCCTTGCGGTAGCCAATTTGCTTTTTCAACTCAGGAGATAAAACCAAATTTTCTTGTAACACCGTCACCGACGCAGCACCACAGTTTCTTTAGAAACTTACCGACTTTGTTCAGCAACCATGCCGATGGCATTTGACTGACAGATATTTTCTTGACTGTTGCTGTGACGTCTGCGCGGTTGTCAAAACGTCCTTCGTGGTTGTCGAAACGTCCTTCGTGGTTGTCGAACGTCCTTCATAGGCAACAGTTTTTCGATGAATTTCTCTTACCCAGTCTACATTCCTCTTACCCAGTCTTCATCATCTCTACTGAACTATCCCTTTTAAAAGTGGATGCATACATATCAAGTCCTCTCTCTACGCTTACTGGGCCTTTCATTCTCATTTTTTCTATGAATTTGCTCCAATTTTCATTCTGTTTCACTTTTGTTGATTTTTGTCAAAGTGGGTTAGGAAGCATGGCGAACCGCCCAAAGAAGCAAAATTGGCTGATAACAAATTTGTAAGTGTGACTGCAGGTTGTCTTACTTCCAAGGATGAACTGTTGATAATGAAATTTCCCTCCATTCCTGCATGCGAATCATATCATCCTGCTGAACAATATATCACCGAGTTATAAGGGTGATGCTGGGTGGGAAGAATGGAACGAATCATCAACAAGAAACCGTCTCAGTTTTTACGGTTAATCAAGTCATCGTTACCAATAAATGTTGTTGTTATTGTTATTGTTATTATTGTTATTGTTATTGTTATTGTTGTTATTATTATTATTATTATTATTATTATTGTTATTATTATTATTATTATCAGTTGTGTTGTTTAGGGGAATGATTAATGGCCAGTTTTTCCATTCTGTCTCTTAAAATATAGATAAAATGATCGGTAAAATTTGATGGAGAATTAGTGGATCTTAGTGACAGGAGAAAAGAGAGATTCAAAACTACGTTTACCCTTGAAAATGTTGACTTTTGTTGCGAGGAGATTGATCATTTAGTGCCGTGACATCTTACGGAGATTGATCTCTGCGACCTTTACAAAAGTGTTTTCTTTTACTAAACTTTTGAAGAAAAGTCAATATCACTTTATTGTACATTTTTTGTAATGTATACATGTGGGGGAGAAGTGCCGGAGTTTGTTACTGTAATTTGATTTTGCTTTACTCATTGAAATGTATTTCGTCTTGAACATTTTGGGAAAAGTTCAAGGAATTTAGTATTTAAAAACCTCGATGAAATGATAGAACCAACTTCAGTGGCAACCTTGCAGTGACTTGTATGTGCAGAGTATTTTTCATCGAGAACATTCCTTTGATTTAACTACGTAACACTCTTTCTAAAATATAGTGCTGCTTCTTCTGAATAGTCTCTGTGTGACTATGATACTTTTCTCATGAACGAAGAAAAGAGAGAAGGCAAGTATCATAGTAACACAAAGTCTATAGAAGAAACCAGCACTAAATATTAAACTGAATAAAGGATTAAAATCCAGTTAAAAAGACCACTACAGGTCTTAAATTGACGTTGAGTGCACTCTTAAACGGGGTTTACGTCTAACCCTAGCAAAATCGTCTTTTATGATAAGGCGGTAAATATGGGAATTCATGCTTTATTTAGATTTATTAGTGCGGAGCTAATTGTTTGTTCATGATTGTTATCTCATATTTTCCACACGAAGCGTTTATTTGCTCTGCAATAACCTGATAATGTAGTATTACAGTTGGAAGATTTTTAATTGAATGTCTAAAGTCATCCGGGTACTTTGGTCTACTTCGCTCTGTGATTGGTCCCAAGAACCTGTGGCACCTTTTCAACCAATCAGAGGCAGCACTAAAACAATCGCGACTTGGTAAATTACGTTTTCCCGCGGTTGAGAGGATGGCGCGAGTTTTCTGAACCAATCACATAGCTGAGTTGAACAAAAATGAGAAAAGCAGGCTTTACTTCTGCACTCAACTGAAAATTGCTTTATCATGATGTAGCTTGTATTACCCAGGACATTTTAGAGATGTGTGCTATCTCATTCGCAAACGAGTGAATAGTCTTGTTTCTTGCAAGAATCACTCTATATGAGATGGTTAGAGCAGAGAAGCTGTAACTAATTTTCAAAATGGTTGCGTGGTTCTCTACTGAGGTTTCTGAGGGAGAAACAAATGGAATGAAAGAAAATGCTGTATTATTCTGATAATCACTTGAGTCAGTAAACGAGCAAGAAAAAGTTAGGGTCTAGGAATAAACGACAAAACTCTTTTCTTACTTGGAAATTTATTTTATTGTGAAATATACGTAATTCCTGGCATTGTGCTAACAAAATCTCTATCAGAATTGTGTTAGATTTGTTACTAACGGTGTTACTCACATGATCTGTTCTTTTTTCCTTTTTTTTTGTCATTGTGTAGAAAGATCCCCCGAACATTGCCCTAAATGAAGTGGAATACAATCAGGAAGGTGCCAAGAAGGTAGGTCTGTGTAGGAAAACTGGACTACGGTGGTTTTGACGTTTATAAGTGCAGCATTTTCAAAGGGTGGTAAAGGGCTCAACAGCCTTTTTAGCGTGCGTTATCCCTTTAACTCCCAAGATCTGATTGTTAATTCTCCCCTCTAGCTGCCAGACATTTCCTTGTAAATTAGTTACGAGAATTTGGTAGATCAATATGAAAACTTCTGCCTGATAAGTTTGAGTATTCTTATTACCTGCTTTCTGGATAGTGTATGGATATTATTGTGAGAAGTTGCATGTTGATCACTTCTGGGTGTTAAAGGGTTAAGGAAGTACAATGCAGGCTGACGCCACTTTTGGAAAACGAACTGTGAAAAACAAAGTTGATGTGGAAAGTAAAGTTTGTCTTAAAACAGTAGCTTAATGCGCAGGGACAGGTGCACAAGCCAGTTCTCTGATTTGTCCTCTTGTTATCGTTTAAGCAGTTAACGAAGGGAGAATCCTCTTTCAAGTTTAAGGCGTTGCTTACGCGCTTGAACAGAACAGCACAGTCGAGGTTTCTTTTCTTTTCTTTTTGAAATGAAATATGGGCGACTGGACAGTTTTGGAGCAATCTTTATACAAGACCAAGTCATGAAAGCATCTGATTACAAGGCTTTGGATCGATCTGGAACACCGGTTTAGGACTCCACCATACTTTCAAATTCACGAGCGTGTATCGTTCTTGTGCATTTGCCAGGAGGCCACGGAGCGGTTTTTGTACCAGCATTTTCAAGTTGTTTTTTTTTCAGTCGACTCCACTCTTAGACGTACTAATTCTCTCGTGGTTTAATGTGCTTTCCAAGTAGTTTTCTGTTTCCCCTTTTGGATAATTTATAATTCCCTATGATTTTAACGATAGTTTTGTGCAGTGCATATAAATAAAGAGCGATAGCATTAAGTAGCGATGCTATCTCCTAGCAGTGATCATATAGCTGATCATAATTGTCTGTTTAGCTGGTGAACACAACAACAAAGAGCCCTTGAATGCATATTTTATATGTGACTTTTTCAGCTTATGCGCGAGATGATTGATCGAGTGACTGGAAACATGAAGTTTAAAAATCGCTTGATATCTGATGACAAGGTAATTGTGATTTCATATGTTATGAGTAAATTGAAGTCTTTGTTTTTGATAATTAGCCTGCCCGCAGATAAAGATGAGGCCTTAAGGAACGCAAGTCGGCTACAGGTCTGAGGTCTAGCACTTCCCGACTTCCGGCATCCATTCTCTACTCGTCTGAAATCTTTTCGTGGGCAAAGAAACGCGCGTCGAGCAGCGCGTGCTCCCAGACTTTTTGAAGCTGTGCTACACTAAATACTTAAATTAGTTACTCTTAAGACTTTTGTAATACCCTGCCAACGACTAAGACTAAGTAGTACTAACTCAGTTACTACTACGTGACCAAAAAAAACAAAAACCAGAGATTTGCTTCAAATTTTGCATGTACATTTTGTCAGTATTTTTGAATGACGTTAGTGTATTAAAATGGGAGCGTTCGAGTTGTCAGAGGTTACCTTTGATGGATTTGACTGTGGTAAATTTCCACTTAATTTGTACAGCTCAGACTAAGCTTGGAGGACGATTTTCACTTCTTCTACAGTCCTGTGGACAACACATCTTTCAGGTTAGCTTCAATCGCTGAGTTGAGTTCTTCAAATTTTTAATCGTTGTAGAACACATCTGTAGAGTCTACGATAGCTGATTTTCAAATTAGGTAATTCAAATGATTAGTAGGCGTTAAACTCAAAAGATCAAGTGGGGTTTATTCTGGGTCCTATTCCTGGCCAGACTGGATCAGAAGTGGTGCCCTAGAAAACAAAATAAACCCCTATGAACATTTAATTATGCATGAAAGGGTAGTTTTTCGCCACCTGCCCGCTATTGCGATACTTTGTTCGATAAATTGCGGATCGTTTGATCGCCAACGAGTTTATTAAAACATTTTGCACACTTACGGAGCAAGCTAATGGCGTTTAACGTTAGGTCGGCAAGACTTGATCGTTTGAAAAGAGAAAGTGTTCTTTGGAGAGGTTCTCCAGAATCGTTATGTTCTTATGATTTCTGCTTCATTAAAAGAAAAATTTGATTTTCCAGTGCTGCTGTTGCTATCCCTAACTATGGTCTCAAATTGCTTCAGGCAAAAGGCATGAACGTCGATGGTATGTCACCTCATTGCTTGATCATCTGATCTTTGTTGTGCAAACAATTTTTTTTTGTAACGGACGAGGTGATGTTTTTCATTGTTTCTGTTTGTTGCAGATGCAGATGTAGAGACGTATTTATCCAGCTCTAAGAATGACGAGGATGTGATAGTAGCTCCTTGGTGAGTTTTGTAAAGTGTCATTAGAATATTAAAACTTAAGGAGCAGCACCTGACTGTGTCAAGTGTCACTGTATCTAAGCGACAATTGCGCGTGCGTTCTTCATATTCCTATCGTACTCACTTATGACGTCAGCAAACAAATGCCTTCAGAAAAGAAATTCCTCCGCGACTGACTGCGAAGTTCCCGCCTAGTTTGGCAGCGAGTTTTGAGTTTTCAAGATGGTTATTTTGTTCCATCCCGATTGAGGTAGACTTCCAGGGGCTCAAAATGAACTGTAAATATCCTAACGGAAAGTCTATTTAGAAAAGAATAGTCTTTGAGCGTAATGAAATAAGCTTTCGGGATAACGATACTTTGATTCTCAAATGCGATACAAAATATGGCTGGAAAATGAAAACTGAGTTTGCTGACTCAAATTGACCCATTTCCGAATATTCTGTAATATGAAATGTAGTCAGTGGCAATACACGCGGAATATTGCCTTCAGTCATTGTAATTATTAGGGGCACCACGAAGGACACCTTGGTAATTATGTAACATGAAGGATCCTGAATGTTTTGCATTGGCTTTTCCCTATACTCAGTCATTGCCAGTACCAAAGCACAAACCACACCAAGCGCTTTATGTAACAAAGCCTTTGATTTATTGTGTACTTAAAAGCTTTGTTACTCTTTTTTATCAGGGAGATATGTCGAGGCACTCCGGTGGCTGCAAAGGAGACGACGCCAGTGTACAAACCATCAACTCCAAATGCTACTGACATAATCGATGACACGAATCGAAGCAATAATTGTATGCTATCCGTCTAATTCACTTAATCATCCCGTTCATTGCATTCCATCCATTCCATTTTATTTTAGCTAGCATAGCCGGTTTACAAATGAAGGAAGAGAGAAAATTTTATTCTTGCAAACTGCGATTGTTTTAGGAAACTCGAGGAGCTGATGGGTGGTGCGCGAAACTCCGGGTTGAGATGTCAGGATTCGAGCCCCGGCCGGGTCGGGTCGTTTTGCTGTGTTTATGGGCAGAACATGTTCCTCCTGCAGTACCTCTCTCTTTTCCCACGATTATTAATGTATACCGGCAAAATCTCAGAGTCTCAGAGAAACCTAACAGATTGCAGAACTGGAGGGATGGATATAACTCTTAATAGACAGGCATCCGATTCAGGAGTGGTAACACTCCTTGTCGCTTTATACCACGGAGACTGGGTCGCTTGCATTGTGTGGGCAACTTTCCTCGATAGCAGACTTAACTTTCTCAGCGCGTTTGTTAGAATTTGAAAAAAACGATTTCTGATCGGATCAAACGGGCTTGGTTCGCGCTCGCATGAAATCGCACATCAGACAAATGAGTAGCGCGTGAAATTTCTGTCATTATACATGATCTCCCAACTAAGATAATTTGTGAATTCTTAGGTTTCTTATTCAGCTATTTCAGCGACAAATATGTATTGGTTTCTCTTGGAGCAAGACTTATCAGCTGTTTGCTAAGTACCGTAGGAAGCAGAGGAAACTAATGTCATCTCTTTTTTGTCTCAGGTGATAAATATAAGCTGCAAAATTTGCTTTTTGATGCAAATTTGACGAAAGAGAGAGCAAGCAAAAAATGGAATGCCAAAAAAATGGAAGAGTAAGTTTTCTTCCCCTCTCAAATGTCTCTTACGAAATCTATGTCAGCACATAGCTTATCACGACCTCTCTTTTCGCAGAGACAAAATTCACAGTGTGTTCGTAGCAACACATGGAGGCATTATGAGATTTCTGAAGACAGGGTATGTACAAGGCTCTCAATTTTCAAAGGTGCTACGTAGCAGTCTGTGCATCTTTAAAAAATTCAGGCCAAATTTGAAATGCAGATAAAAACGCAAGAAATAATTCTTTTTCTGAGCATTTATCTTGGTCTTGGGGAACGTTAAATTTGTTTTAAAACTTCTAAGGCCGAAGAAAAAGTTAGAAATTCAGCTGACCGTAGCTGCCCGTGATCAGAGCAGCAAAATACTCAACGTTTTTCCTAGTTTTTTGTTATGAAACTTTTTTTTCCTGGAAACCGTGGAAAAAAACAGGGTTTCTGAAGCCTTGAAAATATTGTTTTCGTCTGTGTGGGGAGGGGTGGGGGTACTTAGTCTTCTAAGACCTCTCGAACAGTTCACTCCACCATTTTAACTTAGAGTTATTTAGACAATAGAGACAGTAAATCACATAATATCTGTGTGAGTTAAGATAAATTAGGTTTTTTTCTGTCTCTGCGATATTTTCGTTTTTGAAAGTTATGCTCTTTTCGGTGACAAAAACGAAAACATTAAGTACCACAAATTGTCCCATCTCAACCCACCCGGCCAAAAAAAATAAATCTTGCATGCTACGCATGCCTATGTTTTTTAGGATTAGTATTGTTTATTTTTTCGAAAAGTGCGTGCTTCACTTAGAGCTTAAGACGCACGTCAGCATTATTTTTTATCTATAGGTGTATCTAAGACATTGCATTTTTTTTCTCTGAATTGTCTCAATGTAGGTCTGCAGCACCATTTACAACGCGAGACTTCATGAAGGAGCAGTTCTACAAAGAAGCTGCCCAATATGCTCAAAAAGAAAAAAAAGGCCTTGTTCTTTCAATTTCCTACAGAGGACAAAACAAAGGTATATGTTGTAAGAGATGAACAAACCTAACTACCTAACCCAAGACCCCCTTCTCCCTCCCTCCCTCCCCCCCTCGCTTCTTGCTCCCCACACCCCCCCCTCCCCCATCGCTTCTTGCTCCTCACTCCTCCTCTTTAATAAAAATGTGGTGGATGTTTATTCTTGTAGTTCTACTACTGGTTCGTTTATGCTGTTCTTTCATAAAATTTCTGTTGTCGTTCAGAAGTCAGACAAAGTGGCATGATCTCGACATGTTGAAATGAAAAGGAAATGACTATGTTTAGATGATGCGAAGTCAAAAACTGCCTGCCTACTTTTCCCTTCTACTTGTTGTTACCTAGGCAACCAACCAGCGAGTAATGAATCGATCGTCATCAATGCAAGTTCTGCTATTGTGAAGGACGGCGTTGTTGCTGCAGGTGAGTATAATTTACAAAAAAAAAATGCCTATTTTTCGTAACCTCGCATTTGCTGGTGGGGAGAATCTGGCGAAAGTTTTAGATACCCGTTTGCTCATGATAATTTTCACTTTCTCTTGAACCTCTTACCCAGTTTATTACTAATATATCTTGTTTCCCGTTAAATATCTATTTATTTTCGGTGATCTGCAGCAAATGTCAATACTCTATTCCAGACTAAGAGAACGGCCTTAATTACTTTTGGTAAAACTGAATTCGCTTGTGAAAGAGGGGAATGGCAAAAACGATAGGTCTACAAAAATCTATCATTGGTTTGCAACCTCAGTTCAAGAGAGTATACAGATCCATACCTTTTTTTAAGACCGTTCGGTTAATTCTATACCATCTTCAGATTAAACGTGGCCAAACGCCATACCTTTAGCGTCACACTGCTACCCAGTTTAGGCTCAAAGGAAGTGGAGACGAGCGAAAAAGCGAACGGCGGTCGCAGTAGTAAGAGAAAACTTTTGGCGAACGAGATCAGTCTCCTACTTTATTTTTTCCCTTGTGTTTGAGCCCTACAGTCTTTCACATGCTCGCTTTTTTGCTCGTTTTCTCTTACCAAGCTCCTGATATAAGACTTTACACCACCCGCCATAAAACTTCCAACTCAATTTTCCACTCTTAAATCACCAGTGGCTGGAATGCAATTTGATCAGGAAAAAATGCAAGAAATCTTCAATACAACTGCTGGAAGCGAGGTATAGTAACTATTTCTTGATCTACAGAAACGACCATCCAGCTATGACTTCTTTCGAAGGACGGATGTCTTATGCTTTTTTTTGTATTGTAAACTATTTCATTTTCCTCGACTGACTCTAAATGTTTATTTACAGGTCAATTGTCAGGATTCAGAGGTGAGAGACATTTCACATATACGCACGATTTCTGACTGACCTATTGAGGCGAAAGTGTAATATTTTCAATTCCCGTGCGTTTCAGGTGTACTGCCGACTGATCAACGATGATGGCCTCATACTAGCATCAAATCAAAAGGATAATGAGGTACGCAGGTAGTGGATCAGGTCGAATCTTTACCTGTCGCATAAAAGTTATTTTCTTGTCACAAAACTGTCGTTCTCTCGTCAACAAACAGGTATCCTCTTGTTACAAAACATTTTTCTTTGTCACACAACATTTTTCTGACTTTCTGATCATAGCGTGAATTGTTTGTACTGTGACGTTATCATAAAAAGAGTCGTCAACCTGATCTACCGAAATTCGAACCAGATAGTTGCATTTTCAAGTTTATATTTCTCTATTTCTTCAAGGTTGGAGAATTCTTTGGCGTTCCAGAGGGAGCAGTTTTGAAGCATTTCCTCAATAACTCGCAGTTTAAAGAGTACGTTTCTACACATTCTTTCAGTATTTCAAAATCGAGATTGCATTGGATATAAATTTGAGATTTCACCAAAGGTTTCATGAACGCTTCCCCACCCAACTTGTTGGCTAGGGCGTGTTGCCGTCATCGTTTTATCTCTGTTTTCTCTTTTTCCTCACTGGCTCTTTCATATTGTTACTAACCTGTGTACCAGGTGCTTGTTTCAACCGAGCGCGAGTGATTAAGTCTGGCGCGCAAGAGCGAGATGTCACGCACGCATCTGCTCCGCTGTGCGTTTACAGTCCAGCAGGCCCTGGTTGTTCGAAGGATGGGTACATCTCCATCATATGGATAGCGCAGTACGTTTTGTCAACTCATCCAATGGATAGCGATTTATCCTTTGGATAACGCCACCACCCTTTGAACAAACGGGCTTATTTCTCAATCTTTTTTATAAACTTTATGAATTTCTCAACCGTCATTGGCGATCAGCAGCCAATTTGAGCACTCGTAGGACATCGTATGCACATTGCTTGTAATTGGAGAGTTTATTAAGACAATACTTGTCATTTGAGCGCGCTGCTATTGCGACTACGGGGCATTTTTCTTCCGAAAAAATGTTTACCAACTCTGATCTTACGTAATGATTACACTTAACTGATTGGTTATTTTGTTTCTCAAAATTTGACTTGGTTTTGAGTAATAAGGTACAGGACTTCTGTCTAAGAGCATATTTTTGATGGATTAACGAGCGTGCTCTCTCGCGGTTGTTCGATGTTCATCACTCGTACGATTACAGACCAAATCAATTAATGGATTGACATGTTTTTATCGCAGATTTAATTTTAGCAACATACAAGGAGAGTGCAAAAAGCCTCAGAAAATCGTATCCAGTGCTCGGACACTTCTGAATGTAAGACCACAAACTTGTAATCTTTTCTGATAGTTCTCAAACAAATCACGTCTAACGAAGTAAAAGTGTTTTTTTTTTATTTTGATTACTGATTTTTTTGTTCCCTTTTTCAGCCTCTCTTTGCAGTGTCATCGTATGTACAATTCTGGACCCAGACTGTTTTTTGGTAAGATGCAATGTGTTTGTTTGGAACAGAGAGAAAAAATAGTTCATAGGTTTTCTTGACTGTTGGATTAAAAAATGGCGACACCTAGTAGATCCTGTACGTTGTAGAGCCATATTTCATATTGACCGGCGAACGTAATCAGGGATCGTTTTACAAATTCAGTGCGCTTTTCAATTGAGTGTAGTGAAACAAAACAAAACTAATCACAACGACCAATCAGAAGAAAGGAAAATACCGTTAAGAGCCAATGAGAACTCAAGATAAAACGTACCAAACTGCCTAAAGCGCGGGAAAACGTGAGCGACCAAGTCGTGATTGATTTCAGTTTTGCATCTGATTGGTTGATTAAGAATGGCGCGAGTTTTCTGGACCAATCACAGAGCGAAGTAAAGCAACTCGGGTCACTTTCGATACTCAATTGAAAACTGTTCTAGTGCTACCCTTCAGTCTCAACCAATCAGATGCAAATTTTAATCAGTGACGTTTTGCTCCTACCATTTTCACGCGCGTCAGGCAGTTTGCGTCGAAACTTCGTATCTAGACGTATCAAACAAACCCAGTTGTTCCTACCTGGTGAAGTAATATTTACTCCAAATTATTTCGCAGGTCTTTGATGCAGTTCAACATATACAGTTTCTTTTCTCGTGGTAATACGGGTGAGTTTTAGTGAAGCTTTTCGGTGTTTACTCTTGTCAGAAAGAGATATAGCACGCTAGCAAGGACTTTCATTGGACATACGAAAGTCCGCGCAGAGGTAGTTGTTGCTCCCTCTCACGTATTGTTTTGTCTGTTTTTAGCCCTGGCGGAAGAAGAAGAGGAGATGAAAATTCCTTGTACGCAAGAACTCAAATTTTACAAAGGAGAAAATTTTACAGAAAGGAAAGGTAAGAGATTATTGCCAGTGGCTAGCTTGAGCAGGGCACAGTATAACATGATGTTTGCATAAATCCCGTTTAACATTGCTGGAAGGGTTTTATTTTCCATCCTCATCAAACCTGAGCTGCACTTTGTCTTTGTCAAATAGTTCAAGTTTGTCGTTTGTAATCAGCGTTGATCTTTTCCACCTTTATCAACTTCCCTTCATCTGGGCTTTTTTCTTTCCCTTTTGGTTTTTGGGTATACTTGAATTTCAAGGCTTTTGGCTACCTTACGACAGTGTTCCATAGTGCTACCAAGAATGCAGATATGAAGGGAAGGTGGAGCTGTTCCTGTATATGCTAAGATAGAGGAGAGTTAATCCTTAACCCTTTACACCCTAACATCAGTATTCATATATTCTCCATACTGTTCTATATACATTTACTGAGGTGCTGACAAGGGGAATTTGTTTAACAATCAAGTTTCTTTAGGTGGTGATCATTTCGTTAATTCTCTTGACATTAATGAGTGATTCAGTGGTGATATTGTAAGGAGAAATTAGATATTACATGTTAGTCACTCCAAAGGGTAAAATGGTTAATCCTCAAGAAGACAGTTTGAAGCGAGAGACACAAGCGATAGAGAAGTTCTCTCACTCTATCGAATATGGTGGTCAAAATTAACTTCGGTTAATTTTCCAAGATGGTTTAGAGTGAGGCTTTACAGCTAGATGACCAGGGGCTTGACTAGAAATTATACTCCATGGTGATAAAGGACTGTGCCGCCCTTAAGACGAGAAAAATCTAGTGTCACGATCTCGAACTTATCTCAAAAATAATCCTTCGCTTTGAGGACGGTCGTATCGTTTGCCAATATAAACGGGCACCGCTCTCAGTCCTCTCTATTCCAATCATAAAAAATCCTCTTCTATTTTTTTCTCTTTTGTGTAGAAGATGATATGGTTTGTCCAGAATCCGATTCCAATTGTGATAAACTAACTTGGTAAGATAGTCGATTATTATTTTATAGTTTATCTCGTTCTTGCTGTTGTCGTAATTTTTTTTCAGTTAAATAAACAATTGTTTAATTCAGCTATTTTTTTGGTGATGAACTCAATTTAGAATACACGTTAAATGTTTTGTTATCGTTTTTAGTAAATTTTGTCTTCGCATCGAACACGAATACGTTAAACATTGCCCCGAAAGGCGGATGAAACTTTTCTTAAGCATCAGTTTGCCACAAATACCTGGATAACCTTCTTCTCGGTTTTTTCTCTCTTCTGTTTTTTCAGGATTGTGTACCCAGCACGTGTTAAGAATACAAATCTTCTGTTGGTGATAGTTAAGAAGAATTGTCAGTGCGAAGACAATGAGAGAATAAAGGTTACACTCACACCAAAGGACTGTATCCTTTTGAAATGATTACTTCTGTAATCTAGGGTAGGGCCCGATACGGGCTCATGACAACAGCATAAGCGAGGAGCACACACAGAATTTGTTAAAATTTAATATTCTTAGCTTCTCGTTAACATGTGGGACCCCATTAATAATGTGTCGCGTTGTTGAAACTTTCCTTGATTGCATGTACTCACAGCTGTATCCAGTATAACAGAACCTAGGCTTATGTCCTACAGGAAACCTCCGGAACTAGAATCACTTTGCAAAGCCAAAGGAGAGGTAGGGAAAACAGTTTCAGTTAGACCACAATGGAAACCACGTGCTTTGTGTCTTTATTAGTTAGAGGTCTTACTGACTGAGTAGTAAGTGCGCTGCCCTCGGGATTCAGCGACCCTTGTGTCGAGTATTGACACCTGAACTAGGATGCTATGTCTTGTCCTCATCTCGAAGGGATCAGCATCGCATCCTATTGGGGAGCAATCTGAAGGGGAGCAGCTTCTCATTCTTTTGAAAAAGCATGTAGTCTCGGGGAAACACCATTTGTCGTCGGGAGTAGCATCTCTTGCATCAAGACTGGTCACCATCTAAATCTCATGGAAGTAATACTGGCTCCGTACGGTTATATACGTTGCCATCCCTGGTATAGAGCTTTAACCTATTAAATTTCTTGCGTTACTCTTTGACTACTATTAATTAAGTTGTTTTTGTCTCAGGGCAAACCTCCTTGTGCCTCGGCCAGCCTTTGTTCCCCTCACCTAATCACTCTGCTCATTCTGCTCACATTCTCTCTTCTTCTTCCAACCAATCATCACGGGAGATGAGTAACTGGACTATATCGACTTCAGACGATACTGAGTGGAATCCCTGTGGTTACTTGAGCTTAACGAACGCTTTACAGTGAAAAAAAAATAGCTTTAGACACGTCAACAAAACAGTAGATACTGCAAGAGATGATGTCCTGATATTCCGTCAAATACTCTTGTCAATCAAAAAGAGGCGTCAGTGACGAGCGAATTTAACATTCAAGCGGACTGATTTGCAGAAGACTGCGAATTACCCGAAGGGCCTGGAATTGACTTAAATTTTAACTAAGCTGAGCTTGTAAAACACATTTTTATTAGAAGTATTTATACTTTTTGTTTTTCCTTTCTTGTTTTATATGTGACAATTTTAAAATCGAAATACCTATGCAAATGTGCAAGGATTTTTATGCCTTGAACCGTTGTGCCTAGAGTGGTCAAGCTTCTAGTACACCTCGTTTAATTTCCATAGAGGTGGAGAAATAACGGCATTCTGTACTTAATAGCTTAGTGACAAATCTCACCGATTCTTTGTGACATTTGTCTTCGTGTTTTTGTCTTTTTATCACGAACAAAGTGCTATGTCATGCCTGTTATTTTGACTGATACTTTTAGTCTCGCACAGATAAAGAAGTTTCTCGCGCTAAGGTAGTTTCATCAGAAACACACATCTGTAATCGTAATTTCTTGTCGCGGGCCATGGCTATTGTGGAATTCGGTGGTGTTTCACCTGGTTTTTGTGCTTTCGTTATTGTTTTGATCGAAAAGTACTCGACCTTAATCAAACTACATTACAGATAGTAACAGTTCGTTGTTTTCTGTGAGTTTAATTCCATAAGTCCGAAGATAATTTAATTTGGTCATCGCTACCGGTACCAAGTGCCCGATTTTGCCGCTAGTGAATTGTACTACGATGTTGGTTAACCCTTTCAAAGAAGCACATTGTAGTTTCTTTTATAAGCTTATAGAATTGTGAGCACTGTTAGGTCTTAATTAATAGAGCAATTTTGCGAACAGCATACAACTCAAATTTACATTGTTCGTCAATGCAATCTACACGCACTAAAGGTTTTGTAGCAAAGTGATCAGTTTTAATAAATAGGATAACCAGAAACATTTGTGCAGTCTTGGATCGCTTTGCAGTCCATAACGTCATTTGTACGGCACTTATATTAAAGGAATTAACTGCTCCTTGTGTTTTCTGTTAATGAATGCGATAATTTGGGAGTAAAACGAAAATGCGACTGGTTTAAGTAGATGTTTAATAAATATTTGCTATCTACAAGTATTTACAAAGTGGAAAGGCTGTACACTTTGAAACTGCAAGTTCCTTCTTACAGATTTGTTCCAAGAAACCCCAAAATTGAGTTCATTCATTTTCTGAAGTGGTCGCAAACAAACAGACCATAGACTTTGCATACGTTTACATTAAATCTCAATCGGCTTTATTATCGGTTTCCGAATGTGGCGCATTGTTGACCCAGGCTCCGTGGGTTTAAATGGTGCTAATGAACCATAGGGCCTGGGAATAGGAAGTTCTGAGTCATCATCCGGGATGTAAGCATTAGGTCGAGGCTCAGCTGTTGTGTAGATTCCGCCAGGCAGTAGATAATGTTCTTCCTCTTCTTCGCGCTGTGGAAAATAAGGCGAACATTTTTCAAAAAGTGGTGATCAGAAGATAAATGAGAAGCAGGTTCTGCATCCAAGCGCTCATTGATCAGAGTGCACGCGCTCAGGACAACATGCATATATTCAAACAGCCCACAAAGCATGTGTATGATTTTCCAATTTTGAGGGAGGAGGGGTCTTTTAGGCGAGTGAAGGGAAGAAGTCGAAATGCAAAGTACGCGTAACGAGAGAAACGATAAGGATGACCCTTCCAAGTAAGTGATTAGGGAAAATATCCTACCCTTGATACTACTACGCTCACAACAATCTACGAACGTATGAAAATGTAGGACCGTCCTACACTTGTCAATTTTTGAATTTACGTTTGGACCCCACCTCCATGTTAACTAGCCCTAAATCAAATACTGACATTGACCAAATTCGTTGTTGTGGTCTGTAATTAAAGTTAACGCCAAACCTCTTTCTTTTCCAAGAGTTCTTTCGTTCTACGTTCTTCGTCTCGAACCATTCTGAGCCAGTCCCTCTCGGCCTCCTCACAGGGCGCCTCTCCTCTCTCCATGCGGACGTAACACTGCTCCAGCTCTTGTTCTTTGCCCTTCACTTCCTGCTGCAGTTTCATGGCGGCCGCTTGATTCATGGACAGCTCTGACACTAGCGCCATCATTTTACGAGTGGTGTCCTTTATTTTGGCCTGGTATTCATTTACCTGGGGACAGAGATATGGTACAAACCAGTTTCAGGCAGATCATTGGAGACGTTGTGGGGCATGCATTAGTTTGTAAACTGTCTTTCCGATAGGATGACAACCGTCGAAAAAGTAGAAACTCTTGTTTCTCTTGATTTCTTTATGTTATAAGAAGAGCATTCTCAATTTTACAGCAACTAATTTAAAAGGAATCTTTCACAAGCAGTTAAATTTCCCCAAACTTTGTTATGAAAATTGGGTGTATCGCCGACGAAACAAGACAAACCTTTTTAGCTAATTCCAATGTATCTTCTTTGCCGGTCTCCGACTTTTTCTTTGTTCGGTCTGCCAATCTTGTGACCTCTTCAAAAATCAAATCTTTCTCTAGGAGTTTTTCTTCCTTCTCTGCCAGTCTCAACTCAAGTTCCTCTATTTTCTTGGCGAGTATCTCGGGTTCAGGGTCCTCGCCGCCAAGGAGCCGAACACGATTTTCATCCGAAGGATCTTCGAGCTTCTTCTCGAGCTGGGCGAGTCGCTCGCGACAAGCTACGAGCTGCAAATGAAAGTACACGATATCAAATGTAAATCCTCAATAATCTAAAGTGACCATTGTGTATAATGAAGAAGATCAAACTCGAATTTTAGAAAGCAGAAAATATTAAAACCTACTTGAATTTGTGAGGTGACAAGCTCGTTGTCTAGGGCTCTCTTGTTTGGCATGTTTTTCTGGGCGACCGCTATTGACCGTTTAGTCTCATTGACCTGCAAACAGATAAAATATGTTTCAGATTTAAAATAACTACAATGCAACAGGCAGAGTTGTTACTTAAGTGCTTTGCAATAGAATTCCTCAAGAAATCAGGACGACTCTGGTTTTACTTTACGTCTCCACCAATCAGATGCAAATTTACACGTTGAATTGCGACTGAATACCAGCGTTTCTCGCGCTCCATGTAGCTTGTGTGTACACCCACGTTTCTCCCGCTTCACATAGCTTGCCTGTGATTGTCTTGAGTGCGTATTAACTCCTTATAGTCATTACCTTTCTGATTAGCCTGACGTTATAATTACTTAAGTTTGAGTGTACGACACTCATCGACGCCCATCGAGTTTGGCAAGTTTAGATTGAAGAATTGTCCGGCTGTAGAACACTTCACCAAGAACAACGAGCTCGAAATTTTGTCCACGATTCCTTTCACTCCCTAAAGCTTCCCGGTCAAACAATACTGTGTTGTTTACAACGTTTAACTCGGAGTTTGAATCAATGTATAGTTATTACTTTGCGATGGGTATTTGAGGTAAGCTTTCGACCACGACCCTCTCATATCACCATCCACCCTTTCCTTGGCATTAGAAAGAGTCGAACTTCTAAATTCATGATGGTAGATTTCGCGAATAAAATGCGAAATTTCAATTAATATTACATAAACCCCTTACCTCCATCTTCAGAAAACGTATTTCTTCTTCCCTGGCTCTCAATTCTACATCTCCATTGCGAATCATTGTGTCTGCAAATTGAATTTTAAATCACTACATTGTAATTCCCGTACTCGTCATTTCCTACGGTATGTAAACTTTCTAAACCTTTTACTTTTCTTTAGTTACTAAATGTAAGTTTCTCTCACCTTGTATGTTAAGCTTTTCATAAAATACACATACTTCTTCGTTGGTCTCGATAAGGTGTATTCCCCTAAACATAAATAAAGTACGAAGGGTAAAATGCTGTTTAAAAAACGGTTAAATGAGCCCTTGAACTTGGAGAGAAATACCTGCCCTTCATTGAGAATATGCATATCGATATGAGAATGTAAAGGTAAACTTTAAAACACTCAGATTTAAAAGACTTACATGTCGTTTCTTTCCTGCACTCCGCTTTCATAACGTTTCCTCAACTGCACCATGTTTTCTTCCGCTTTGTTTATTAGATCATTGAGTTTCGCAATGTCCAACCTCTGTTGAAATTTAAAGCAAGTGTTACACACGGTTAAATTTAATCTGCACGATACAGCGCTTTCCGCTCGAGCGTCGGAAAACCAAAACCAAAGTAGTTACAACAGCCAGTCAGAAGAAAGGATTATGTCCTGAAGAGCCAATGAAGGCTCAAAGGGAAAAAACGTGTAAACTGCCTACAGCGCGGGAAAACGCGGGCGACCATGTCGTGATTGATGTTAGTTTTGCATTTGATTGGTTGAGAGAGAGAGAGGCACGAGTTTTTTGGACCAATCACAGAGCGAAGTAAAGCAAAACCAATGCAATCCCGTATTACTCAACTGAAAATCGCTCTATCACAGTGATACCATGAACATGAAATTTCTCATCAACCCAACGACTTGAAACAAAACTGTTCTGCAAATAAAATAATTACCAGTTGTTCTCTCTTCTCCCTGTTCTCTTCTTCAGTCTTAGATCTTTTACTCATTTCGTTTCTTAAACTATCGCGGATTACGACTGCATTGTTCCTTTTCAGGCGAGCTTTCTGAAGGAGTCTGCAATGAAAACAGAAAAAAGACACTCACAAAATTAGAAACCATAAAAAATTTCAAACAAGAGCGTCTCATTCCCAAGTTCGTCCATATCATAATGCAGCAAAAATTTCGCAATACATCAGCTGAACATACCCTAGGATCATCTACTAAGGCAATTATCAGTTGAGTGTCGAAAATTGAAAGTAATCCGGGATGACAATGGGTTTGCTTTACTTTGCTTTGTGATCGGTCCACAAAAACTGCCATCCTCTCTCAACCAATCAGATGCAAAACTAACAACGATCACGACTTGGTCGCCCGCCTTTTCCCGCGCTTTAGGCACTTTGCTTGTTTTTAATTTGAGTTTTAATTGGCTCTTCAGGGTTCTTTCCTTTCTTTTGACTGGCCGTTGCAGTTAGCTTGGTTTTGGTGTTGCGACACTCAATCGAAAAGCGCTATAATGCATACAATATACGTTATTCTCCTTGAAGAATGTAAAAAATAAAAAACGGTTGGGTTGCCTTAAAGACTTTTGTTGGACTATTTTAGGAGTTCATTAAAATCATCATACAGCCGATTAGCTAACATTAAGTCTGACATACCTGTCTTTTGCGTTTACTTTTGATCGTAGAATTTCTATCTCGTTTTGAAGAATCTTAATTTTCTCTCTCATTTCAGCAGCTTTCTGTAAATGAAAAGAAGCAGAAATTTTACTACAAAATAAATATACGCCAACATTTCGGACTGAAGAGCATAAATGAACGTGATGGTTTGTGAGACGTGAAAATTTTGGTCTAAGTTTAATAAGTTCATCATCAGCCCTTAAACTCCCATGAGTGACCAAGACAGAATTTCCCCCTACCAATACAATATTAAGCAGACAAGTGACGAGAATTAAGAAATACAACAATTAGGGGATGTTAAGTTAATCCAATACCAGACTCTCCAAACTCACATTATACGGATTAAATGACAGATGGTAAAGAGAATTACTAATGAAATCTTGAAAGAGAAAGGGTATGCAAAGGTACGCGAGAGCGGTACTGTACGGGTATAATATTGAGTAAAGGCTACTCAAGATGACAACTTGCAAATAGCTCACCTGTGTACTAGTTTGGATTAAGTTCACGCATTTGTTCCGTTCATTTTTTATGACATCGTACAGCTTAGCAAAGTCAGCCAGTCTGTTAAGACAACAGGCAAATCATATCAGTAAGCAAGGCACGTGAAAATACGTGCATATTACCGAGGGTTTTACTTGTACATGTACATTGAAAGTCGATAGTAAAACTTCATTACCTGTGCTGCATCTCTGCATATTTCTTCGCACTGTCTTGAATACTAAGGTTTTTGGTTTTCAAGTCTTCAAGAGCACGTTGGTATCTCAGCTGAATTGAAATAACATAGACTCTACGTTAAAGAAAGGGTGTCAGGTGTTCCTTATAAATAATCTCTAAATCTAGTTAAGAAATGTTTCTCTTGTTCAAAATGAAATCTTCTGAACATTGTCAAGATCACAACATTTGGTTCACTGATTGAGGGACTGACTACAGTAACTGACTGACCAAACTGACTGACCAAACAATCAACCAACTGAATGCCTGCAAAGAGGGCAGTTTCGGTAGAAGTGGTACAAGATAATTTAGTTTTATTAAGCGAGTAGATAATGTAAATTGGCCAAATGAAAGAGTTTCATCTAAAGCTGAAATTTGGAGCCCTTTGTTAGCTTGAATAGATAGGAAGTATTGTTGGTTGTGAGAAAGATGGAGCTATTGTTGAGAACATGCCAACATGAAAAACACAAGTATACAAGTGTAAATGAGACCGTTTCTCTGTTTCCAAGTGACTGACTGACTGACTGACTGTCTGTCTGCCTGACCTATTGAGTGACATGTAAGAAACCAACCTAAAGTCTTCACTGGGTTGAGCTTCATAACTTGGAAAATTATTTGTAACTGACAAGAGTCTGAGAAGAAACTTACAGTCGGGATAAAGACTTAGCCTACACATAAGCCATAATTTTTGTTGAACATAATATTTCTATAAATTTGAACTTCTAAATTTTTATAATCAAATGTATCCAACCTCAGCTCTCATGTAATCCCTGGCTTTTTGCTCTCTTTCATCTGCCTGTAGACAAAAAAGTGCAATTATGCAAAGTGTAAGTACATAGAGATACTGTTCTTCATGTACAGTGTAGCAAAACTTCTCAGAATTGTGATGATACATGATAATGTTTAACTGGAATACACACAGGTAACGGTTACCAATAGTTTAATCAGACCAGCTTTACTTTTACAGAAACATTGCTACCTGTAGAACAAAGCGCACTGAAGACTTTTTCACTTTTAAGAATTTTTAACAAATGTGATGCATGTTCTGGTGTGGTGTATATAATTTGTACTTAACATTTACAGAAAAGTCCAGAGTTGATCTTATTAAGTTTTCATTGTATTATAACTTGTTAATTCAGTAAGTTACTGCAAGAGAGTTTAATAAACTGTTATTATTTATTATTTATAGTACCTTAATCTGTGCTAGTCTTGTCAAATCAATGACATCGACTCTCAATTCACTCTGTTCCATTAGAAGTCGTTCCTCTTCTTGAATCATCTGTTCCACACGTGCGCGCTCATGAGCAGTTAGTGCATTCTGTATGAACCAGAATGAAGTCAAGACAAAAATTAGAGCACAGAGATTGTAAGAAAACAGATATAAACAAAAATTCTCTGAAACTTTGATTAATGTTGGTATAAACGTAAAGCACATTACTTTTTTGTACATATTTTGTACATATTATGATATAGTTAACATACTTTTATGCCCAAATCAAGTACAGGAGAAACAAGTCAGATACATTGTACGTGTTTTTTATACACTTGTATATATATATATACCAATTTGATTTTAATTTTCTTTGGTTTAGGAAAACAAAGCCCTAAATCAAAGTAAAATGTAAATAGAATTGGTTTGATTCAGGCATTTCAAACCTGATATTATTTTAATGTACTCTGAATTAATTATTTCATTAAAAAGTTGTGCTTTTGAATTCACAAGAAGAGAATTTGAGATTATGTCATTTAAGCCATCCAGCTGGTGAGGTGGCTTGATATATCAAAATTGTGAAAAGTTATATGTAAATGCATGTATGCATTAAATCACTGCTGAAAATAACAGCTCTAAATTGTTAAAAATTGTCTGTTATAAACATGTTACCTGTTGAGCAAGAGTGCGTTTTGTGACATCAACTTCCCTTTGAAGCTCTTTCCTTTTTTCCAATAATGTTCCATCATCTCTTGGAGCACTGTCAACCTGAGCCTTGACTTTGTCATAAACGGATCTCACATGCGCCAACGCATCCTCTCCCACTTTCATCTGCAACTCACTCTTTTTCAAAGCTCTGTGAAAATAAAACAGAGTTTTTTTTTTCTTTGGCTCAGTACTAGATACAGAGATGAAACATTGACAAAAACATGACTTTCTGTTTTTCCTGTTCATAATGGCTTACTTTGCGTCCCTCTCTTTTTCTCGCAATTTCCTGGCATGAATATCATGATTGGTCTTCTTTTCTATGGCAGCATGCTTCAAATTCAAATCTAATGTTCCCCTGCAATTGTAAAAAAGTTGTTAAATGCATAGATAACACAACATATAAAATCAAAAATTGTTTTAAAACTAATTGTAAAACAATCTGAAAAATGTCATTGTTTCAAGATCACTGCTCATGAGATGCTCATTATTTTGTCTAATAAAAAACCCTGCATCTTGTTCTGGTAAGAGTTGATTACAACCGAAATCATAAACCTATTTAAATGAAATCTTCTTTATCCTGGTTGAATCTTTTTGTAACTCCTTTATAATTTTAAAAGGGGTAACTCTTGGGAGTGTTCAGAGTATACAACAAAAATGATCATGAATTGTACTCTACCTGTCTCCTAGAAATTCTGCTTGTCGCTCTTTGGCAAGTTCAAATTCCTTGGCAAGTAAATCAACCTCTCTGTCCTGAAAAAGAATGTAGAGAACCAATGAACAGGCTAATGAATTCAGGGCACATCAAGCAAAATTTAGTTCCATTGATGTCATTCTTGGTGCATTCTTACACCTGTATCCAGGCAAAAAGTCCAATAAAGGTAGTTTTAGAGGGTACTAACTGGTAACATTCCTATTTTATGATTGGTGTATAAAATTTTTGATCCAATTTTCTTGCTTTTGACCTAAGATGTCTGTACTAATAAAAATAGTTGTGGAATAAAACAACTCAAAATCTGGCTTTTGTTTTGGAGTACATTTCTTCCTACAAGGCCCTAAAATACCTACAATGCATGTACATTTTGTATTTTAGTAACCACATTTATCAATCCCTAAATTAATAACCCTGTCTACTTTTACTTAGCTGAAGTTTAAGGTGCCATACCTTTGACTCAAAAATGTGACGCTGTTTGTCAAGAGCTTCTGATAAGTCTTTTTTTTCATCTTCCAAATATTGCTTTTTTCCTTCTGTTCTCTGGAGCTCTTTTGATATTTCATCTATGTTTCCATCCAAGTTGGATCGTTTTTCATCTACTTCCCTTTAAAACAAGAGTAGATTGCCTCTTAATGGCTGTGTATGTTAACTTGGTGCAAAATTCTGTAATATACTATACTATCTTGTCAGCATAAAAAAGTTTCCTTTGTCCAAAACATTGTGTTATTGTAGCTGGTTTACAGAATGATCTTATGACATACATGTACAATATTATCATTATTGCTTCTTTTCAAAATCCAAAAGCTTTGCTTCAGCTTTAATAAGCCTCTTTATGATAGAGCTAGCTACATTATCTGCTTTCCTTTAAAACAAGACTAGATTGCCTCCTAATGGCTGTGTAATCTATGCTAACTTGGTGCAAAATTCTGTAATATACTATACTATCTTGTCAGCATAAAAAAGTTTCCTTTGTCCAAAACATTGTATCATTGCAGCTGGTTACAGATTGATCTTATGACATACATGTACAATATTATCATTGCTTCTTTTAAAAATCAAAAAGGTTTGCTAATGTTTCTTGTATGCACTGCATAATTATTAATACAGTAAAAATACCTGAGTTGTCTTGACAAAAGATCAGTCTGTTTGGTTATATGTGCTGGTTGTGAGTGAACTTGTACCAGTTGATCCTATAAATTCAATAATCAAACAAAAAAAAATTCATTTTAGGATGGCACAACAACTTTGTTGACATTCAACATCTACAATTGACTACTATTTTCATTTTTTTAAAATTTTTTTTGGGTTATTTTCTTAATCAGCTTAATCAGCCTCATTAACTGGAGTTCAAATATAAAGTTACTTTCTTACTTACTAATATTTGTAATCACTTTTTGGGAGCATTTTCTAACATTCTCTTCAATTTTTTTTAATGTCACACTAGCTTTGTCCAACTGAAAAACACTGAAATTTTGTTATTCATTCATTTACTTTCAATTGATATCCAGAAAGGTCAAGATAGGAAGTATCAGTTGAAAGCAGTATATATCATGCTGTTATACCTCATACATTCATGTACTTCTCCACAAAAGAGGGAGAGTAAATTGTATCACATTTGTGACAGTTTCAAGACTACAAAATAAGTACTTACACCTAAACAAGTAATAGAAACCTTTACCTTTTTGTAGTATTACAAAAAGGCTCATTTATTCCACATCAAATCCAACCTACCCTTAAATTTTGCTGTTCCTCTAGATCATCTTCTACCTCTTTTCTCAGTGCATTTACTTGCACTTCCCTGTTTTCAACCTCTTCCTTCAGACTTTTACAATCAATAGTTCTTTGTGCAATTTCAACTTTGAGTTCTTCGACTGATTTTTGCAGTTCTTTGACCTGCTTTTCTATTTCACCAGGTTTGGGCATCCTTGCATAATCCCTTTCCAACATCATCTTTTCTTCTCTCAAACCTTCCAGTTTGAATTCCAGTTGATACTGCCTTTCATCTGCCTGTGCTAGTTCATTGTGATGTTTCAGAAGTTCTTGCCTTAATTTGTTAACCTCAGTGTTGTCACCATCAGGAAAGCTGTCTCCTTTCTCCAACTCAGCTCTCTGTCTTTGTACTTCTTGGTGCATTTCCTTTGCCTTGTGAAGCAGTGAAGATTCCTGCTCTCTTGTAGCTTTAAGACGTTCATGAAGGCTGGTATATTTGGCTTTTAGCTTAGCCACTTTCTCTCCTGCTAGTTTCCCTTGTGAAAACAACTGACAAGAGAAATACAAAACTTAATTAATTTGTTACATATACATTAAAGTTAAATTTCAGTATACCGCATAAAACTGTTGGTATATCGACAAAATTTGATATACAAAAAAATAAATTGAAATATTGCATGATTTGTAAATGTCCCTCTATGAGTGCAAGACGTATTGATAGTATTTACTTATCAATATACCGTATATTCTAAAAACCTAATAATTAAGCGCCGAATTTATACTCGAAGAAAAAACCCTCCCTCCCTTCTCAAGAAATAATTTGCCGAAAGTACTTCATTTGGCAAAACCTGAGAAAATAATTCAGGCTTTAAAGTCTAAAGTATATGTTAAGGCACTTCTTTTTACTAAATTTATTCTTTAATTGTAGTTCACTTGTGAATATCAAATCGTAACTCTGAAGCTTCACTGGTCAAATCTGGCAAGTAACATATTTTCATTTTTAGTCATGATCAGCTGTCAAGGCGCAATCTGAACACATCAATAATCTCCTGCACGTACATCCTCTATGTCGGTATAAAGCGCCAAAATCTGAAAAATTAGGTTCTTTAATTGAATTTAATTTTGTTATCGCACTAAAAACACAAATCTCAACAAAGAGCAGATGATGTACAAACCTCGTCCAAGCATTGAAAAGCTGGACTGGCTGTTACATCAACGGGGCCCTCTTCTTGATGCAATCGAGGAGCCACGGCCCAAATTGCTGGATCCACCTCCCGACTAAGAGACTCTCTTTTCTCTCCGTCGCTCATCGCGGTAATTTTTATCCAACCCAGTGCTATAGAAGCTAAAATAAACTACCAGTCTTCAACATCCCTCTCCAAGGCCTTTCCATCTCAAAATGGAGTCTGTTACTAGGAAACGAGGCAATAAACAATTTCTCGTCTCAGTCTCCGGACGGTCAAAATACTCTCAGGGACACTCTGGGATGTCATACATTACAAGATACATCCTCGTGACAGAGGACGGAAACTGGGAAAATGGTGGAATTGCAGAAAACTTTCAGCTTTGATGAACAGATTCTGCCGCATTTGTTGAGGGATAGGGAAACGTATAGCGGAATATTAGCAGAAGAAGGATACGGTATTAAAATTTAATTGAGTTGTGTCTCATAAAACAGCGAACAGATGCATAACTGCACGTGAGTTGTAGCCTTGAAACAGAACAGCTGATGATAGAAATAACGGTGTAGATTATAAACACACTGTATTTTCCTTTATATGCCTCTCTTGTATAGACGCAGAGGCTGAGAAGAAAAGGCTGCAGGTTCGCATTGTTGGACAAGAAAAGGATAATTCCATAATTTTAACGTGGATAGACATCGGACCCAACAGTAGAGTAAGTATTTAGCTGAGGATATCGATAATTTGCACGGTCAGTGTAAAACGCAGACTGCAGACCGGGGGTAAAATGCAAACTGAGGGTAAAATCGGTTGCCTTGATTGCGGCATTTACTGAGTTCGAGAATCTCCACAACCCTGACTGGTTCCGTGATCCGTGGTGTGAATCAACATCACTTTTTAGTTCAATAATAGGTAAATGTACAAAACTTAACCCTGATATGAAAACTTCCATCATGATAAACACATCTCATCAAATCTCATGCCCAGTTGCAGGCCCCCCTAGGTTCAGGAAGTATATGATGTTTGAGTCATCTTACCTGCAGCTGCCCTCTCCAGCACTTTTCAGGAGTGTTAATCTATTCAGGACTGATAACTTTTCTCCCATTTCTTTTTCTTTCTTTTTTTTCAATTTTTCCCTTTTTTTCAGAAGACAGAACCAAAAGTAACTTACTTTGGACTGTATGAAGCATCTCAACGGCATCTCGAAGTAAGTAGTACTAACAGCTACTAGAGTTCCTGTTGGGTAGTTATCATGGTCATTACATGTAATTGTTACCAAAAAAATAATTTAATTATAAAAGAAGTTATAGTTGTATAAATTTTTGTGATAAGAATATAACCTAATATGGTAATGCTCCAGGAAACCATTCTTACTGTGTATTGGTGAAAATATAAATGTTCAAGTAAAGTTTCTTTTTTTGATGGTTATGTTATTAACAGACCTTTTGGGTCTAAGAAATAGCTCAGGTGACTGGAGGACAGAGGAATGAAATTTATATATCTAAGTGTTATAAAGATCACTGTTATTTCTATTTGATCTTACAACTCATTGTGGGGACTACATGGGTGTTTCTGTTGCTGGTAAACTGCTTGTTAACTTTGTCATTCTTTCTAGCGTTTGTTTGTTTATGACAAAGAAGTGGTTGTTACTGGGGCATCAGTCAATCAAGAGAGAACTCTACTTGGTGAGTGAATACAGCTCAAAATAAGGTTTTGATTCCTTTTTCACTTTGCATCTGGATTACCTTGAGAGTACGTGTCTTTCACCTTTTTTGAGACATATCTTTTGATGATTTCCTTTTGTTTCATTTTCAATTTTCAGCTTTCACTGTTACTGAGCAATGTTTTGGATCAAGCAATGAACCCTGTAGTTCTCATAATCCAGGTAAACTTTGTATTCATCACTATTTCATTATTAAATACTCAATTCCTATTTCTTCACTTTATTTGATTTTCTGTACTTCACAGCTATCTATACTTCATTTCTTGCTGAGATTCGCGGACGGAATTGTATCTATTCATTCTTCAATGCAAGGCACACTTTTCAAAAAGTTCAGGTAAATAATTGGCAGTTTATGTGTGTGTTAAAAGAGAAAATATCTCCTTTGACTCTGAGAGTATCTGGTTTCTAATTTCTCCTTAGGGTATCACCCTTGGAAAGGAAATGATCATTCAATCAAATTTCAATCAAATTCTCCTTAGCTTGTTGGCACCATAAATAAAATTAATTAAAGAGAACAGTGTGGAGAACAAAAACACTTAATCTGCATATTTTATTTTCAAGTTTCTGTATGGGGAGTATGTTGGCTATGGGAGCTCATCAAAAAAGGAGTCTCATATGCTCTTCTTGCATCATAAAGAAGGTAATAAAATCATACAATTTATAAGTTACTTTAATTTATACTTATTCTAATTAGTTTGAGGCTCAAGTCTTCAGAGTAAAAGTTGACTGTATTGTGTGGTTATCCAGGGTCAACTAAGCTAGTGGTGCAGTACCAGCAAATCTTCACATTAACTAGCATGCTTACATGTAAAAGAACAACCATTTAACTTTACTCTCAGTTAGGTTAAAACAAAAACTGGTCAATAGAAAACAAACAAGTATTACAGCTGTAACTTACAGTCACTTTGAGTAGGATTTTGACCAACTGACCAATAAACAAACAAACAAAACCAATAAACAAACAAACAAATACTACAGCTGTAACTTACAATAACTTTGAGTAGGATTTTGTGACTTTGTAGATGTAGTACTTAGGTAACTTAAGTCAATTTACAATGAAAACAACAAAAAGCTACGACTACTTAATGCAATTTCAGAGAAACATTTTTCTGACTGATTATCTTTAAGCTGTTATTGTGTATTTTCACTGATTTTGTTTTAAGCAATTGGATTGTACCACTTCCCAATGGCCAGATTTGGAGAGAAAGGAATGGTGGGTTTTTACAGTTTTCTAGGGAGAACCTTTCACTACCTAGATATCTAATATTAAATTCATCTTACAGCCAAGTATATGTTTTCATTCATACAAGTGTTAAGTGTTAAATCAATACCTTACTTGATAATTTTTTAAGATTATGAGTGATCAACCTCGGATACAGCAAGTGGCAGATGAATTTTTTTGGGCAGAATGGGACTGTCGCAATCAGCGACTCTACATTGTGTACCCAAAGCACAAGGTATGTTGTCAGAGGATTGTGCAGCTTGTAATTTAAGTATCTCTTTTTGCTTTTTTGTTTTTGTTGTTGTTTTTGAAAAGAAAACTTAATATTTATTTAAACACAATTATTTACATATAGCTAATCACCTAGAATATAATTATGATAGTTTGAAGTAGCCACAGGTGACTATGATTTCAGCCAACTTTGTAAAATAAATGGTGATTTCTTGTAACAAAGGAACAAGTAGAACCAGTGTAATGTCATTTTATCTAAATTTTTACTTGAAGTGGTAACAGATTTTTTGCTCAGAAACCAAAATTTTGAATAACTCTGAATCATTCTGAGTTATCTTTAATTGTTTCTTTTCAGAGGGTTAATTCTGGGCTTGACGAGGAGCAAGAAGAGATGCCTGATCTCATGTTTGTAGCTTACCAGTTCAATGAGAGAAGCCCCCATTCAAAGGTGGTAAGTTCAGGACTTGGGAGAGCATTGTTTCAAGAATTAATTATAAAACAATTTTTAAAGACAAAATCTTGAATTGATTTTGACTAGTTGGTATGTACATTTAAGACAAAGCTTTTTTCTACTGCCTAAAAGTCTAATTTTTTTTTGTCAGTCCCTCATTTCATTACACAGTCAGTTAATCATTATTTTTTCTTTTCTCCATTATTTTAATGATTACTCTTACTCTCTCTGTAATTTGTCTCGGTGAAATGAGATTTCATACCTAAAGAGCAATTTTGGTATCTGTGCAATATGTGATTTGATGCACATGGTGCCAAGGCATATATCATTAACTATGGCATCGAGTAATTTTAGTGTTTTTCATTGCCTGGTATTTAGTATTTTGCTCTTTGTTGTTGGCAAATTAACCCTTTAACTCCCAAGATCTGATTGTTAATTCTCCCCTGTTGCTGCTACACATTTCGTTGTAAATTAGTCATGAGAACTTGGTGCTAGATCAGGATTGTAGCTTCTACCTGATAAGTTTGAATATTCTCATTACCTGTTTGCTGAAGAATGTATGGATATTATAGGGAGAAGTTTTATGTTAATCACTTCTGGGAGGGTTAACTTTTATAATTTTTTTTTGGCAGCTAAAATTTCCACTTCCCTTCACTGGTGTGGACCTTTTTCGCAAGACAAGGTAGTTATAAAATATAACTGTTACTCACAGTTTTTCATTATGGATTAGGGTTCATATAAAGATTCATAATTTTAGAAAGTTAAATATCACATTTCTTTTTGTTTTTAGACATCCTGAGTATGCTGATATTCCTCTGTCTCACACTATCTCAGGTAGCTTTTCATATGTTCCACCAAATGTACAGTTTTTAGCTGGTGTAGTTGTGAAAATATGTGGCAGGGTTAAAAGTGAAGAGTTGCTCTAGCCACATTTGGTGGAGGTTAACTGCAGCTGCTCAAAATTCCCAGAAAACTTCAGACTGCAAATATAAGCTGTTGCCTTCGCTGATGATAGATGAAAGATATTTTAGTTTATAAATTTTGACAAGCCAAAGGTTGATAAAGAATGCCTCAATCAGTCCAACAGACTAAAAGCTTTTATTCAACTGTGTAATTTCAGAGAAACATGTCAACATGCAAGTTGTTACTTTGCCTGGCAAAGGTAAACTACCAATAATACCTATTGTAAGTAAATATTTATGAAAATGTAATTGTAAATTAGTACTGCATATCATTTTGTAACGTGAATTTTTTTTTTATTATTGTTTTACCTTATGATAATAATGATTTGTTTAATTAATATATGACTTTTGTTTAAATGTCAGGTTCATTTTATATATGCGTTCAACATCCAATATCTGTTGGAACTGAGGGATCACAGGTAAGTGACTCTCACATAAGTGGTAAGTGGGGCAACATTTTGACTAAGGGATGTGTTTATTTCCTGTACAGCTCAATATCTGGGAGTTTTGATTTGTTAATTTGCAGCCACCAAGTGAGGGATCAGTCATTCTTTATCACCTGGGCTGGGGTTGAAGGAATGGAGGGGTGGGATTACATGGTTTCAGGGAGAATAGAGGGGGGTCATTTGTTGCCAACAGAGTATCATGGGGAAGCTATAGAAAATTAAATGCAAATTTACAGCCAATGAGGGGGGGGGGGATCATAAGGAAATATTACTGAACCTTATGGGGGATCAGGTAAATTTTATTGTGACACAACCAAAGTCCTCTAAACCTTCACATCCCCCCCTTCCTTAGGGGAAGACTAATGACCAGTCCCTTAAAGAGTTAAGGACCTATAAAAGTTAGGTCATTGAAGTTTACTTTTCATAATCTAGTTTATTTATTTTTTTAAATCAGAACAACACAGAAGAATCTGTTGAACTTTCCAATCAGTTGGAATACTCTGTTTATGTGTTACACCATGGTGAGTTCTTGTTTTTTCAGAGTGATATTCTTTGATCTTTGGGAATATGTTTCCCATATATTCTTCTCACTAGTTTGTCACCTTTGATCTAGAGGAAATAGTGGAGTAGAATTGTGGGATGTACACTGGTTTTACTCTACTGAGTTCTATGATTGATAATGGTAATAGGATTGAGTGCCAAGTCCAATTCAGTCTGTAATCATACAAATAATTACAAAAATTGGACAATTGCAAAGTGTGTGCTGATTTTTTAATCACGACTATGATTACAGACAGAATTGAATGACACAAAGTCCTGTTACCAATTAATCATAACCATTATAGCTTCTGATACAATTATTACTAACAAACTGCAAGAGATATTCTCTAAACTACTGTCCACTTTGCACAAAAGACTGTGGAAATAAGTCAAAATTGACATTGAGTAAAATTTAGCTGAGTGGACTTGATATGATTGGCTGCTTAAACTGACCAATTTCTGGTGTCTGATTACAGCCAACTGTCTAATTACTCTGTCCGATTGCGATTGTAACTCTACAGAATAATTTGCTGGAAAAAAGTAGCCAATGCACTAATCACGTTTCAGGAAATTGTAATGGTTGTGATTGGTCTTAAAGTTGGGGACACCCTTTCAGACTTTCAGATGAAAAGCAAAAACCAATTCTTACTTTAGAGCAATTTTCAACGGAGTGTTGATTCGATTCGATTTAATTCTTGGCTTGGTGTTTGGAGCAGAACTCAACTTAATGAATAATTTGGTCTGATCAACTGAATTGATGAACTGAAGTGAAGTAGCTGCAGTGAAGAATGTTGGCCCTTCTTCACAGCAAATCCTCTCCCTCCAACAAAAGGTCATCGTTCGATACGTCAGCTATAGAATCTCTTTACGGTGACCAATTCACTTTATAAAATAATTCAAATAGTACGCGCGCTCTGATTGGCCATAAAACCATTTTACATGAGCGTATGTAAACACGGTTTTCGTTCCTCTTTCGTTAGTTATTTTATAAAAGAAATGTAAAATGGTTTCCGTGTTTACATAGCCTCGATAAGCTGGAAACCACTCCGCTTCGCGTCGTGGTTTCCTACGCTTATCTCGTGTTCTCCCAACCTCCCGCGTGTTTACATCAGGCTATATAAACACGGAAACCATTTTACATTTCTTCAATATTAACTCGGTTAATTGCACCAAATTTTATTGTCATACCCCCAAAATATGTGGCATCACAGTTTCTTCAAGACTTACCCCGTCCATCAATTTATTTGTCTTTATTTGAGACAATTAATTTGTCTTTCTATCGTTGTATTCAACTCTTGTATGATTTTTCTTGTTTTTGAAGGCTTTTTAATGAAATGTGTGTTACCGAATGTGCGACCGTCACAAGACCTCAACTACCGTCTGTTTTTCTCGTCACTCGGTCAGTATTCAAGTATAAGTTAGAGTAATCGGGTATTCAAACATTTTACATATCTTTGTTCAGAGCATTTGCTACAGTTGTTTGGCTTGTTAAATATTATTATGGTATCCTATAGAATAGAAACATTTGCTACATTATGTGGACAGCAGCAAGGTAGTTTGATTGGCCTAAAGAGAATGAGTAAACATCTGTGAAGCCATTCTAGAAGCAATTTTTATTCTCAGGTCGACGACCTCCAAGTAGATTAAATTTTTTTAAGGTCCTATAAGGCGAACAAAAGTTGGTCGGGCTTTACAGAGCCAAAAGCTGATCAGATAGTCCCCTTGGTACAAATAGATTACAAATTTATCTTTCTATCATCTCGACTCAAATATGGAGGTTTCTTGTTTAGCAAATCAATTTCTTCGTGTTGAAACTCTCCACAGATAACTACCTGATGGTCTTTCTACCCGGCCGCTTTATGCATTTGTTGAACTGTGGAACAGAACGTGAACCTTGTCATCACATCATCTTACAAGGTAAGGAAAAAAATTGATATCCGGTTTGATTTGATTAGGCGCTCAACCTCGAACAAGCCCTCACCCTGTAGGTAGGAAAAGTAAATGAACGGTCAGACTCAAGTAAGCGTCAATCCCCCCCATACCCCCTTCCCCTTGAAAAAACAAAAAAATAAAGTGCGCAAGAGAATTACTGATTGTTATTTCTTAACTGGCTCACAATTTCTACATCCACTGTCGATGAAACATCTTTTTATTTTACTATTGTTTGTTGAAAAATAAACTTACTACTAATTGAAAATGGTGAAAAATTATGAAACGCCAAAGTTCAGGCCCAAAAATTCAATAAGCAACCCATTTTAATTGAATAAATACCGTGGTCAAAATATGAAGCATCTCCTTTTGTGAATTGATGATCATTTCCCGAAAAGAGTCGTTCTCAAGGCTTTTCTTCTCCCTGACTATCGTATTAATGATCGTCTGTTACTTTTGGGTTGAAAACATTCGCTACTGACCAGAAAAGCTAAGAACGTACTCGAAGCTTGAAAGTGAGATGGAAATTTTTTTTGTAAGTGTTGAATATTTTCTCATATTTTGATTTTTGTTTTTAGATGATGCTGTACCAACGTTTTCTTCTGAGGATGCCGTGCCTAATGAACCACGCCTGCTATCGATCCTTAAGAAGGAGGTTTCTACGTCTCTACGCACAGGTTTGAATATCGTATGACATTGACCCTTTAAACCCTAAGAGTGACTAGCATCTAATTTCTCCCTACAATATCACTCCTGAATCACGCATTAAGGTCATGAGAATAAAGGAAATGGTCACCAGGGAAGGAACCTTTTGATAGGCAAACAAATTCTCCTTGTCGGCACCTTAGGAAATGTATAAAGAACAGTGTGGAGAATATGCATGCTGATGTTAGGGAGTAAAGGGTTAAGAAAATAATTTTACAGTGGCATATGTTCTTGTCTTCACATACATCGTCCATTTTTCTTGTATTCTTGGGTACTTTGGAAAGTTTTGAGAAGCCCTCCCTATGCAAAGAAAGCACATTCTGACTACCTTTGTTGAATACATTTTCACCCGTCTTTTATTTGCTTCCTACTAGGTCCGTACATTTTTGACTGTGGATCTGGGAATGCCTTCAAGTACAGCTTCAATAAGGAAGCTTTAGCTGAACTATTTGCTAAGTATGTGTCGTGCCATGGCTAAAATACATCGTCCACTTAACCCTTAAACTCCCAAGATCTCAATTGTAATCTCCTTGCCCTCTTCCATACAATTCTTATGATGCGAGTGTGGAGACTTTGATATTTAATCAACAGGTAATCGCTTAGTTGACATTTTTCTTCATCCTCATCACTTGTGGCTTCGTAGCTCAGTTGGTGATAGCGCCCCACGCGTATCTTGGAGGCCTGGGTTCGAATCCCGTCGAAACCGTTTTTTTTTTTTTTTTGCAGGCCTCTTTACTAAAATTAATCTAATTGCAGCTCTCCTACGAAGATCATTGCATTATTTGATTTTCACAAGCTTAGGCTAAGGTAAATAAAGATCGTTTTATTTTTCTTAAAATAATTCATGTCATGTTCTTTGCTGATAGGACTCATATGCCAAGTACGCGTCTGGCCATTCTTCACTTAGCTGTAATTCATTTACGGGATTCTAATTTAACGAGAAAGGTACATAAAATATCTTGTTTCCAATCTTGCGGGCTTAGACCCACGAAGCCGATCAGAACCTCGATTTAGTTGTTTACGCTGTTGATGTCGCTGTTCCCTTCAGATCTTTGAGCACCTGAGCCATGACCCGGCGAGCCCAGAATGTTTGGATCTCCTCCGAGAGTATCTTGTTGGTGAGGGAATCATTTGTTTAATGGTTAAAGAGAGCGAGTGGATTTTTCTAGAAAGATTGAATTTCCGTAGGTCAAGAGAGAAAAACCAGTGAGACAGCTAAAATCTTAAGTAGATAGATACAAGGATGACCAGAGACGGAGCACATACCAACGTTAAAAGTGGTACGTGTGCTTTAACTTCATCTTTATCAGTTAAAATGTCGATAGCACGCTTGTAATCTATAGGCTTTATTCTTGTTAGGTGCAACTTATGGCACTTTTCGTCGAGAGCTCCAGGGGGAACCCATGGCTTTGATTCCATTCACTAGTGTCGACACTTACAGAGGACATTTGGAAAAGGTAAAGCGGAACCCAGGGAATTATGGCGCAACTTTTTCCTCATTTTTTTGTCATCAAGAGGCGATGCCAGACACTTAAATTCACTCCCTCTTCTTTCATCCTTTGTTGAAGGCATAATTTTTAGCCGGAAGGAGGAGATTTTAAATTTTTAATCTTGTTACTTCCTTTCCACCAGAGAAACGTTTTTTTAATAATTATAATCTTGTTGTATTAGGACGTCAACAGGAAAAGGATTGCCCAAATTTCTTGCTCATTTGTCAGGGATATTCCAATTGAATTTCAGAATGTCAAGGTCAGTGTATGCTGCTCAAGCTTGCGGTTAGATTTGCTTTTATTTTTAATTAAACGATTGCCTCATCAAACCCTTTCTTTTCTACCATGTGAGTGATAACTCTCTCCAAGCGCCATACATGTCTCTGTGTGTAACCTACGAGAGTCTGGTACTTCATCAAAACAAACTCCCTTGGATGTTCCTTGTTTTCAAGGTGCATTTTTGCTTTCCAACTTCTTAGAGCAAGATGAAACAAGGAGACTTTTGGACAGCTTTGCTTGGAAGCACGAAAAGGCTTCCGCCAAGGTTAGTTAAGTTTAGAGTTCTATCCTTTCAGTGATTCAAGAAATCCACTTTCTTTTGCTCCATTTGAACTCAGCTATCTGAAACTCATCACAATTAAAAGATTTGTTATTTATTTATTTTGTGTCGAGAATAAGGTGCTTATCTCATTTTGAGTCGAAAGACTTTTCATGACAAGTTCTTCTCCTCATTTAATTCATGTCATCAATGATTGCACTCTAAGGGCGATTTATTTTCACGAGGTCTCACCCAAACCGCGGGTTCACGCAATCAGTGGGCCCTGGGCTCTCTGACAAGAGGGTTAATTTAATAAGATAAATGTCCTCCCTTTGCTGGCTCTCGGTCGTTTTGACACTGTTCCAAAAAAAAATGTTCAGATAAAAGTTCAGTTAAATTGAGGATTGTTCAGGACACGGTTTTGTTAAACTATAACTAAACTTTGTTTTAATAATAGGCCCTAAATGTTTGACGCACTGTAATCAGAAGAAGTCCGTCCAAAAAGTCTTACAATGTTAATAAACCAATTAAGTTCTTCGTCATGAATCTTAATTTTCTAAATTTTTGGTGGAAACGAAAGGCAAATTCGGCCAAGTGTTGTCTGTCGTTGAAATTTGTGTACGAATCTCTTGTAATGGCTTTTGATACCTAACTATTGCTTATTGTTCTAGGTTTAAACTAAATTTTCCTACCCCTGAGTTTCATGAGGAAGACTGGGATAGCGAAGAAGAGGTAAACAGAACCTCTTTGTACTAATTGAACCATTTCCAATGCGGGTAAACGTCTGGCATTTGTGAGCGTAGTTTAACAAGAAGAACCACTTTGAGCTCCGCTCTTAGCCTTGATAAAGTTTTTGTAGTATTTTATCATGTATAGGTTTTCCGAACAATTCTCCGATACTCATTTATAACCTGAGTGAAGAAGGGCATTGCGAGAGCAAACTGTCTGCCCTGGAAACTAATGCAAGCCACTCTCTTTTTTTTCTCTTTCTTTCTTTTTTAGGTGGAGGTAACGTCGACACACGCTAGTCTGGTGAAGTCGCTGCAAAAACGCATCTCTGCAGCCAAGTAATAATGCTCTACTGTAGATTCTGAAAATATTATCTTCAAGTATCGTAACAAACTTTGATTCCTATTGAAGGCGAGACCTCCTTGTAACCACGGTTTATTTATTTTATTAATTAGAAAGTTCTCTGGCAGCAGTTACTCCCTCACTTCCCAAACAAGCAGTAGTAAGTAAAGAACTCCTCTCATAAATATTCCAGTTTTTTAGCTGTGAAATCTTATCCACTTTGCTGTCAAACACTTTCATACCTTTCAATATTAGCTGACATACAGTATATACGGCACTCACAAACGAAGTTCACTACAGATCGTAAAGGGTGTTATGTTTCGCTGAATTAAGCAGTTGAGCATACAAGAAAAGTAACAACAACAAGACGTCACCATCACTAGCATCCACACCAATGACATCAACAACAACAACAACATTAGAAACAACAACACCATGAACCATGTTAAAAAAAAAAAAACAGCAAAGCAATAAGGACATAAATAACAAAAACAGCTCAAACTAAGAATAATTTAAATATTTTTGAGGGAGATAAAGTTGACCGATATTTCTGCCAAAGTAATGCTGGTGATTTGATATTTTTATCAGAAAGCAAAGATTTACTCGATACTCCTGAAGAGTCAAGATCAGTGGCTGAGATAAAAAAACAAAACATGGTAAAGTTGATGATAGTTTTGAGAGATTTGTAACATTCTTCTCTAAAACTTCGATGCTTTAAACTGAGGTGCTCTGACCTCAACAAAACGGAATTTTCTTGAAGCTTTCATTGGCGTTGTGTGATGTTTTAGTTTGCTCGGATTGGGTACTGTGGTGACTTTGTAATTGGGTGTTTGTAATTTACTTTTTGAAATACAATATTCAACCCAAATGAGTTAAATTGTACAAAAAGTGATTTAGTTATAGTTATTGTGATTATCTATTACGTTAAACGGTGTTGTGTATTGCAGGTTTTGCTGGTATAAGATTAAATATAGTAAAAATTAAAATTAAAATTATTTAATTCAGAATGCCCTTATTTTTCGTTCTTTAAATTAATGGGGCTTAACATTTGTTGCAGACTATCGATCGTCTTGTAGCTCATTTACATAATAATTTGCCAAAAGAAGCAAAAGTGAAAATTAACAACATTGCCATTGAATATGTCAACTGTCAGGTCAGTGTTGCTAAACTTATTTTGTAGAATTTTACATTAGATAGTGCAAAATTTTGTTAATGATTTTGTGTAGATTTTTTCTGTTACGAACGAAATCTAAAATGACCTCTCAAGAAACAATATGTATCAACCCTTTACCCAAAAGGAGACCTACATTTACCATACCAAAAAATGATGTTTATATCTGGGAGAGTCCATGGGTCTTTTGTACTTAGAAAATGTTTATATTTGCAAATCTTTGTATGACCGATGGTATATCTTTTACCTCCAACCATCGGAATGTCAGCCATTTTTTTTTATTTTTTCAAATATCAAAGAGGCAATGTTTCCTCATTTAGGCTTAAAAATAATGTAGAATTTCTCTGTTTCTCCCCAGGCACGCCAGTCGGAACAGCTGTTACGTTTATTTGTTCAAGCGTTGGAATTCACTGACAATCCATTTAGCTATCCGCTGTAAGATTCAAACTACGTTTAAGTCTTTACTTTATGGTAATATCTTGTCAATCAGAAAAAACTTAGTTGATCCAATGAACTAGTGAAAATTCAGAGGATCGATGTTCTCGACAAAAGCGCAGGATACCCGTGTGGGGAATCTTTTGCAAGCAAAACTCTTGAAGGATCTCATTAACTGGTTGTGTTAGCTACACCCATGCCCTTCGCATCTCTGGTTCCGCCTGTAGGAATACTTGCTTTGGATGGACTGCCACTCAAATCCTTGAAATTTTCAACATTTCATGGATTGAGTGCTACTCCCATCGCAAGCAAACCCTTCCACCTTGTCCTGTCTTACAAAGCAAAACCACTCTGTCCTCCACCCTTGGCGTTGATAAAGTCTCTGTTGGAAGTATTTCATAGGTTTTCCTAACTAAGTGTTCTACTTGTCTTATCCAATTGGTTAGAAATACATGTAAATAGCGCCAGTTTGTTATCCAATCGTAGCAAAAAGAGTGCCTTGCGATGACCAGCTGAAAATCATACAACGTTTTTCTTTTATATATATATATATATCTATTTTGCGATAGGGGAAAAAAACAGAGAGACTACACTTTCATCCCTACAAGCCTGTTTCGTGATTGCTCACTCATTAGGAGATTTTTGTGAGCAACGAGTGAGCAATCACGAAACAGGCTAGTAGGGATGAAAGTATAGTCTCTGTTTTTTTCCCCTATCGGAATATATATCGCGCTCTACTTCTGCCTATCGAGCACTGTAAAACGAAAAAAATCAATACGCAGACTTCATATATATATATATAGATATTACTATTATTATTATCTTTGTTATTAACATTTTAGTTCTCACCATCATTTCCATTTCCTGTTTGTTTTTTATAATTAACATTTTCTGTCATAACCGTCAGTACTTTCTCTCCCCTCCCCCATCTCTTTTTTATGTTACAGGAAAGGAATTTTTAATTATTATCATTTTCTTGTAAATGACAATTATTCAGCTATCTCCCTGCGTCGTTCATTTAATTCTTGTTGTATCAACCTCTTGAGTTTTTTTAGTTCCTCTCTATTTCATAATATCTCCGCTAATCGTTTTGTGACTTTTGGTCGAGTTAAATAACAACTAATGTATTTGATAACCTAACCCATAGGCATGTTGTATCTTGTTGTAGGTATTCGCGGGGAACGATGCGTGAAGTTGTATTTTTCCAGTTGGTGGAGAGATTTTCTACAGCCGTGACCGAGCTAAGTTTTCCTCTTCCCTCTGGTACGTTTTTGTTCAAGGAGATAATCAAAGATCTCGTTAATTTAGTTTTTTTAAACGAGACAGTTGTTGAATTGGATTTAATCAGTTGGTGTGACCCCACCACTCGTGTCCTCAGGCTGTTAAACTGTTAACTGCGTAATTGCGTATTTCTATGGAAGATTTTTTCACTGACTATGGAAGTACAACGGTTAAACTTAGTAATATTGTTACCAATGTCCGTGACACTCCCTCACGGCTCGAGTGCCACTGATGCTGTTTTTACCACTCTTTAAAATCGTCTGACTATCTGTGACTCAACAAGGCTAGGGATTGTGGAATATTTTTTGGTCAAACCTAATCAAATAGAGGTCGTCCTCGACGAACATCCAGAATATGAAAAACTAAACGATCTCATCTTTCCCAGTTTCCAAAAGTTCTCTTTTTTGTTAATTTTGTTGATATCCTTAAGTTGATTAGTCACCATCGCTCTAACACAGGGATACAAGTTACTCGTCTTCGTTTGTTTCCTTCAGGTTTCCGTACATCGATGACATGCCTGGGGTTTCGCTGCTTGGAAAGAAGGTGAGATTGTTGTGTTGATCAACTTTTTTATGTTTGTCATATCTGTGCTCCTCGCTCTCGATGAGGTGGCCTATGATTAGTGTGCGGGTCTCCTGATCGAAAGGACTAGGTACGAGACTTCATTGACTAAGGTCTTACATGCATTTGTTGTATTCTTCGGCAATACTCTTTGTATTTCTCCTCTGAACTCTGGACCTGTTGAAACTCTTGCAAAACAATTAGAAATAAAAGAGCATTTGGAGTTCCCTTCGCAGCCCCATTGAGCTTTTTTCTTCAAATTGGCTTTGAAACTTCGCGAGTAAGTGTTATAAAGGATAGACCTGAGGAGCTGAGGCTGTTTCGTGGTTTGTGTTCAGAAGTTCGGTTTCAAATCGAATGTGTTACATTTAACTCGTAACATTTTTTAGTTTCATTTGTTCCCCAGAAAGCCCAAGAAAAAATCTGATTTCACATTTCTGAGTATAATGAAAAACTCTGTATTTTAAGATATAAAAAAATTTAGTCGTCTTTTAATCGATGAATTCGAAAGGGTATTTTGTACTGTCTCTCTCGTAGAATGTTTTTACAGTACGTGGATAATAGCGTGTTGCAATTGACGAAAGGTTTTATAACTCGACTTGTTGAAGGTAAACATTTTACAAAAGTTTTTTTATTTGATAAAATTTAGCTTAAATTATTTAAAATAAGTCATTTATTTGCAATTCAAGTCAATCCTCTGTTTTTCAATCGCTATGTTACCCGTCTCTGAAAAGTCCCAAAAGTCCGAAGCCCTATAAGGACTAAGGAATGGTAATGCAGGATTAAGCTCAAAACTAGCCTCAAATTCTTGGTTACCTGATGTTTTATTGTTTTAATTTCAAAGCTTTAATATTCCGATCTTTAATATAAAACGGCAAACGAAAAATAGCTCTGCGGAACCAGGAACTACCAGGGCTATTGAGAAACGGGCCACTGGTCTGTTTTTGAGGCTTCTCCTTGCCTCTTTCATGTTGTTCTTCCCTTGAAAACTGTAACTTTAAGGTTTTATTTTATTTAATCCGTTGATCCCCTACGACTGGGTAGATCTTTAAACAAATTCTCCTAGTCAGCACCTCAGGAAATGTATGGCGAACAGTATGAGGAATATGCATACTATTGTTAGGATGTAAAGTGTTAAAGTTAGGTTTGCCACACCCATGACCCACAAGAGTGAATGTTTTGTGTCGGCTCCCATTTCAAATGGAAACCCGTCTTTTCATACTGGTACATTGGCCGAGTACATCTTGGTAAAATTTGACGTTGAAAACGAAACGCGTTTCAACTGTAATCGACATACTCCTGAGAGTCTCCGCTTGTTCTTTCAGCCGGCTCCATTAGAGTAGCTGATAGTAGCATGTGATGTTTTTCATCGAAAGTTGCACATTTCTATCATTTTTTCCCTGCAGAATTCCAACAAGGTGAACGAGACGAGGAGGAGTTTGTCTTTCGAATCATTTGTCGCTTGAAGCATGTAAGCTGATTCCCTTTGTTCAGGGAGCTAGCCTAACCACAGATTGTGTGTTTTGGAGAGAGACTGTGAAATGGAATTTCTGGAAATCTCAAGAAAGCATAGTGACGTTCTAGAATACGTAATCAATTAATTTACGAACCCAGTCACCCTCTAGGGTTGGTTGTTGTAGTCGGTAGAGACCGAACTTTTGGAGAAGCTTAAATGGGCGGGAAGTTTGTTTACAGTCAAGGGTTTCGGGAGTAACTTGGAGATAAGCATCTTTTTCTTTTAGTTTGTGCCAGTGTTGGTTAAGGGTCAAGTCCGCTTTAGTTGGCTTTGTTTACATTAAACTACAATGTGTAAGAGTCGCTTTTTAATAAAAGTTACTTCACAATCAAATTCATTGGTTGTATACGATTTTTATATGCATTTTCTTGTCGGTGTAACGATTTTACCGAAACACGCAGATGTTGAAATATGCGTAGTACTCTTTACCTCACTGAGCTAGCTATTTGGAAATAGTTTCGTTTGATTTGCCAGTAGTCTTCTTGATTTAGTCGATACAAATCTACTGTTTTTTCTTAGACTCTTGCTAAAGAGGCCTTACTGCGCTGGGATCATCCTTTTAAAGCCAGGTGAGGCGCGATGCCATTCACGCCCAAAGTACATTTGTGTATGAAACACGTCCCTCACAATATGATTCTCTCCGCCAAGTAGTAGCTTTGTGGTTTGTGAGTAGTTTATACGAAAACATGTTCTACTGTAAGACAGTAAGACACGTTTCCTTAATAAAGTTTTATTTGATTACCTCGGTTTGTTATTTTACCTCTTGTCTCCCTCTCTCTCTCTCTCTATTAGGTTATATTCTCAGAGGCTCGTGGAGGACTTGTTAAACAAAGACTCGTCAGGAGGTATGGTCCAACGGCGTTTTTATGAATCGATTTCGACCAACATTCCCTCAATCGTTCGATACTTCAGTCCCTTATTCCTTTATTTATTCTCATAAAGGCCGAGAAAATTCGGAAGGTCATCATACCGGCAGAGGAAACAGCCTTCTTAGTGGGTTTACACTCGTGGACGCCGGTAGGTAACTCTGTTCTATGAAAATTGTAAACGAAATTAATTTTCTAGCGCATGTTTCTCATCAAGGGTCGATGCTCTTTACTTTCAAAGTCAAGGGCAGTCACTGTCCGTTCATATCAAGTGTCATCAGAAGCTTATAACTGTCTTGTGTCACCCACCGTCCTGGCCTATATATCAAATAGACGTTGACCAGAATCGAATGTTCGTCCCGTGTTCTGTCGAAGATTGATATGAGCTTCTGACCCAGTGCCCCACATTCCATCCTCCTCATCTTCATTCTCGATTGATTGTCAAGCTTTATCTGTGTGATGTTGCTTGTAATTTGGAGTCATTGACTGATTAGTTGCTCAAACCGGTTGTGACGTGGTGACACCTAGGCGTTTTACGGCGCCAAAAACTGAGTCTGACTATTAACTATTTTCTTTGCCTTTTCAATTACAGTTGTTTTTTTTACCAACACTCCATCGAAAACTTCCTCTTCTCGCCTGAAGCCGTTACGGCAATACATTTATTGGGTGTTGAGGGACTTAATGAGTAGATTCTTCTTAAAGTCTCTCTTTTCACTACCTCCAGATTCCGATTCAGAAAGTTTCTTACCTTTGACAAATCTGATGAACACTCTGAGAAATAGCGGTAAGACTTAAGGCATTTGATATTATTTCACGCAGAGGGGCATAATACAGCTAGTGACACAGCGGTTGGAACGACTGCATTTCCAATCTTTCCAAAGCGTTGTTGTTTAAAATTTCGTAAAACGTGTTTTAGGGACATAAAGTCCCCAATTTTCAATGAATTATTGTTTGGACTGCTCGTTCCCTCTTTTGTGCGCTACTTAACGAATAAATTCCACGTTGCTGTGCGTCTGTCCAGTGATAGATTACAGATAACGTCAACATTATGGTAAGAAAAAAACATGGCAAATGAGGCACAGCCAAGTGTGTGACTGTGATGTTGTTCCTTTTATTATTAGTGTATGATGATGATATTATCATGGTGATTGTTATTTTTATTGTCATTTTCATTCTAGTTGCAGCTGGGGTTAACAGACAAACTGTGACCTCGGTTGATCTTGACTACGTTGAGGAGCAAGCGCTACTGGAAACACAACGGGAAATAGTCGGGAGCTTGGGAACGATTCCGTTTTAAGACAAGAGACGCCACGTGTGTAGGATGAAGACACCTCGGAGGAAAAACGTTCACTGGAGAGAATTTCAAGGATTAGGAGGGTATTTAAAGCTGCAGTTTCACCTCGCAGATAAGAAGCTTTGTTTGGTCAATTACTGTTTTATTGGAATCATATCGGCCGAAAGCTTGGATAGAAATATTTTTTCTCTTATCGCCCTTACCATACGTTAAAATCCTTAGATCAGTGAAAGATATTGTGAAACAAGAGTATAAGAAATAATGAAAGCTGATAAACGAGAAGGTCCGATTAGAAAATTGATAGCCTGTAGTGCAGGCGTCTTGTTAGTGCGAGCTAACGCTAAAAGTGGACGGTGGGGGTAGGGGGCGGGGGAGAAAAGACGGTGTAATCTTCACTCCCCTACCCCACCCCTCTCCTTATTCTTGACCGTCGACCGCCCCCTCGGTATAAATTTTTACTCTCCCCAGCCTTCCGCTGTCATTAAAATCAAAGATGGCAGCCATAATATTCGTTATCAAATTACTTGGCACTCGCTGGCAAATAATTACGCCTGCTCCACAGGCGAGAAAATTGAGCGCTTGCATGAGAAAATTTTTGAGTTAATATGATTATTTTGTCAAGAGTGTTATTCTTAAATTGAGTCATCGTTGGGATGCCACTCACAAAAGAAAATGTATCACGATTTCCTTCCTTATCCATTGTTTTGTTTGCCTACTTATACGATGAATGGTTGCTCCAACAAGAAATGGAAAAACAACAACGTGTTCACATAGTGAACCAAACACATACCTCGCTCGCCACAGTAACAATTGCTCAGTGCGCTGATACATATTTTTGTCAAGGAAAGGAGATAACGTAAAATTTGACTGGTTATTTTCCAGTATGCGCGGGGTTGTGAAATTGAAAATGTGAAAAACTGTGATGGGGAAAAGAGAAATCAATTGTGCTTTATATAAGAATTCGAACTTGATTTAAAATCGAATCACAGCTACCAGTTTGCAAAGACAGAAGGGATTTGGGATTTATTAAGCCCTTTTAACCCTATTGGGTTGGGGTTAAACGAATTCTCCATTTCAGCACGAAAGGGGAAGACTTATGGAGAATATGGACACTGATGTTAGGGTAAAAAGGTTTTCGTGAGAAGAGAAACGAATAGAGTGCTTAGTTTACTTGTATGAAATGGAATAAAATTTATTGGCTATTGTAAGAGTATGTACAGAATTATGAAATTTAAATTTGTCATAAATTTATATAAAATTATTGATTGAGTTTGTATCAGTCTTAGCCATGACTTTGGTTGAACGGTATTTAGAGCAGTATTTATGCTTGAACAAAAGTAGGATTAAAATTTTTTTTTCTGAGAAAAACGAGTATGTCAACAATAAATTGGTTTCACAATGATTTGTGGTACTCTTGAAACATTGGCTGACGTTTTCACAGAAATGTAAAGATACTGATCGAAAATGAAAACGTTGAGAGTGACAAATCCGTCGAATATCAAGTTACATAAGTATTAATTATTACTTGGTGCGAAACCTTATTTCCCTTTTTAAAAAGAATACACATACCCTCTTTATCAGCTCTTTGATGTACACGAACTTTCTTATCTTCTAAGATAACTTTCAGCTCAATTTTGACCATTCGTAGCTGCATATTATATTTAGATCGCTACATTCATTGACACACAATCCTTTAGTTGTCTTTAGGCAAGGAAGGTATCGGAGAAACGTTTGCATGAACGTTTTTTGAGGTGCTTCTTCACTTAAGACGTTTTTGCTTTCTTGGCAAGAAAGGGTTTCTCGACATTTTTTACCTTAATCCTGCCCAGCGCTTAAGAAAATATAAGCAAAGAATGAAAAGTGTTTTTTTTTTTTTTTTTAAATCGGTGATTCATGACAGTTTTTATGCTAATCCATTGCACTTTTGTAAATCTATTAATTCGCTGTGGAGGGCTGGTTCATGGGAAAAAAAAAAAAAAAAATGTCCGCCCGGTTTTTTTATATCTTTGTCTAGCCAATTACAAATACATTTGCTGTTTATCCCAGCGGGAAACTTCATTAGCGCTGCTAACAAAGCTTTCGTGAAACTCAGTTCAGTAGATGTTTAGCATAAACAACATGTAGTGGATAAAAGGTGATCTCTAAAGACCGCAAATTATCGCCAATTTGGGAATGTTCCTTAGAAACGAATAGCCAGTAGCTAGCAAAATATTTGTCAGCGATCTCGATCGGAAAGATTTGTAATAAAAGCGTGTTTACCTTGATGATACGATCACAAAACCACAGTAAGCTCAGAGAAATAATTAAAAAAACTTTGCAGTGAAACGAAAGCGCTTTTAGCTGTAGTGCTTGGAAGTGATGTTTTTGCTGGATAAATCTGGGACAACTGTAAGTATATAGTTTAAAATTTATTGAACAACTTTTGAACCTTTCCCAATGGTTAAAACTTTAAAGACTATCATAAGGCTGGCATGATGAACGAAGGCTGGCATGATGAACGAAGCCTGTAAACTGTTATGGATGTCGCTAGGTGCAAACTTTCACAAACAATTTTCGACGAAATCGTTCAGATATTCTCCTCACGTTTGGAAGACCAAAATCCAAGAATTATGAGGAATGGAAAGAGAAGGGTCTCGAGTGTCTATCTTTTACAATTGAAAGTAAATTCTTTTAGTTAATCCAACTCCCTTCTATACCTCAAAGCCGACTTCAATACAGCGCTGCGTGAATACTTTTAATTGGTTTACCGGCATCTTTTTTCTAAGAGGGATATCGATAGACCAAGATAAACTCATATTTGTTTGTTATTCCACAATACTCAAATCGGATTACTTGGCTGGTGAATCAATAGAAATTGTGGTCTTTGGCTTTTTACAACAAATGTAATTAGTACTTACACTCTTTCCTACAGGGCGCAAATTAATTCGGGCGGGCAAAGTATCTTTGTATCTTTGAATTGCGTCGGTCAAAGATGCGTTTTTGATTTAGGGTTAAATTTCTTATTCTTATGAAGATGCTGGATTGTTTTGCCCATCCTAGAGTCAGGCGAAACTGAAACATTCACTTAAATGTGTCGCGCAATCGAGTTCTACTACCTTCATCAACGGTTTTTTTTTTACCTAATTTAATGGATTGGGTGGCTCGAAGTGCAATTACGAACAACCACGAATATTTTTTACTTTTATCATAATTAACTCTTTCTAAACCAAGGTTTAAAATTAAAGCGATTTGAGGGTTCGAATAACTAAATCGTCTTTAGTCTCGAGGAATTCTGCCTGATCCCGTGCTTAATTCCGATAAAATTAAGAGTGTGTTTGCTGGACGTCGTGAAATCTTGTTCATTCAAGTCTTTTTCTTTCAGTTTAAGTCTCCATGGTTATTCTTGTCGTCTAAAATCTCTTTGGGTGTCGAGACTCTTGGTTCGCCATTACCTACTTTCCTCCCCTCTTCTCCCCTGTCAGGTCGTCCCCAGTCAGTTCCCCCTACGGTACAACCTCGTTCCTAGTGACCACTCCTACTCTCCCCTCTCAGGGGGACGAGTTGTACAAAACCCTGGTTATTATGAAAAGGCTTCCTCAGATACCATAATAGCATAATGATATACAGATTTTGTAAATCGTCAGGAATTCGAAGTATATAGCTATAGGTCACTTGTTGTGATGGGGAAAGTAAGACAATGAGGAATAAAGAACGAATTAACTCGGCTATGAAAACTTCGTGTCCTAATATGCAAAACTTCCTAACTTAGTAAGGCCATCGCAAATTTCTCTTTCGAAAATTTTTGTAAGGAGCATGAAAGCATATTCATATGGAGAATACAATATAAATGCATCATTATCATAATCAAAAACAGCTGGGCTCAAGTAAGCTCAATATTAGATCATTAAGTGTGCTTCCGGTGACTCTGGGTTAGGAGACCTTCTTTTCACACTGACGCACACACGGTCCTGACTTCCATTGTTGCCAGATGATGTACTTCCGAACCCGCCCAGATTATTTTGAATAACATACTATTTCCTGTGAACATACACTACCCACTGAGTTGTACGTGTTTACATCTATTTTAAGTTTTGTTATGACTTTTTCAATCGTTTTTACTTATTCTTTAGTTGGAAGATCGGAAGGAAGTGTCACAGGCGGCCCAGGAGGCGAAACTAGATAGAGAACTGCGCCGTTTTGAAGAGGAGTTGGAATTGTTCTTAATTGATAAAGATCACTTTTTGGAAGATCTCTACCGCCGATTAAAACAAATTACTTCTCTCTGGAAATCATGGAGATGTCAGAGATTGCGTGATATTTCTGTAACGCAACTCGTGTCCGCAAAACAGGTAAACAACTTTGAATGGGTAGGTGCTTGTCACATTTGAAGCTAGTTTAAGGCTTGACACTTGGCAAAGCATGAAACCGCGAATTTGAAATTTTTAGGGGATAGAATCTTCCAGAGTGGCTCAGGCAATTATTCGTAACGCGCTCAATTCCTTTTACTTAAGTTTATTGCTTCACACTACATTTCATGATAAGTGTGCCTCTAACGGGTTCTTCATCCCTTTTATCTGTAGATTGAAGATCTTATTCACTGGGAACAAAACCTCCCTGGGAAGAAGAAGACTATAACAAAAATAGAAAAACCAACAGATATGCTGATCAGATTCCTTCAAGCTTGTCTCGAATCCAGACAGCTTTACGAACAATTCCTCCTCTCAATTTACAAACCTCTTCACCTGTTCTTTAGTGATGACAAAGCTGCCCCTTTTTCCGAGGCATTGGGTCGAGTTCTCGAGAAGTGGAGTTACCTACTCGAACCAGGCCCCATAGATCACAGACTACTGAGTGCAGAGAGTTCCGAAGCAGTCCACAACATGAACTTGTCAAAGAAACCACGTGACACAAATTTCAACCTTATTCTGCGGCTAGTGCCGGACTTCGCCGTAAAAGGCTTCGAAGCTCTTTACCTTGCGCGACAGTGGAGAGCTCTTTTAGGTTACTCGGGTTACAGTAGAGAATTGAAATTCATTCAAATCCGGAGACAGCGTCGATCAAGAGAGCACATCAGTAGTGAGCCCGCAAATATTCCCGTTCCTTTCAGCATATTTCATAATTTGGAAAGAAAACTTAACCAATCGAGAGATCGATACAAAACAGTGGACCCAAGAAATCACGTTACAAAAGCTGTACTCCACCATGAAACTCACACCAACACGAATTATGGCGTGCAAGGAACATTTGCAAGATCCACCAATGACGAAACGAAATTCACTTCATTTACCCGCGAGTCTAACGAACAGCGAATCCACCGTTTGCAGACAGATCTGAAACGTGAACAACTACAAGTGCAGAGGCTTAGAAACGAACTTCTTCACGTTGAAATTGCGTCGCGCTACATGAGGGAACCGCCAATGCTAAGACCACTGTTTGACATTCTGGCTTCTACCAAGGGAAAGTGCCGCATGTTAAGAAATGAGATTTCAAAACAGGCTTGCCAGCCCGATTGTGCTTTTGACAAAATCCCTGACTCCAGAGGTTTGATCCAATCAAGTAAGGACTCTTTCACGTCAGAAAGGAAAAGGTTAGCCTCCAGGGCTCTTTTGACCTCTTGGCACCGCGCGCAAACCACTTAGAAACAACTTGTGATCTGAAAATACGTTTAAAAAAAACACACACAAGAGGGAAACAGAGAACCTAAAGGCGTTTGCAGGAAGAAGTCTTTTCTCCTCACTCAATTTATCACAATTTATCAAATGTATTTGAGGGGTGTGAATTGTGAGAGGGCAATACTACTCTAATCTCTTGTGCAGAAGCAAGTGAGTCAGGAGTATTCAGTATATTAAAAGCTTTTTGATCAGAATGTATATTTGCCTCCGACCCTAAATGTTTGATACTAGCATATCAACCACTCCATCTCGTCAGCTGAGAAAACACTACAACATTTAGTTAAAAACAAATTTTTTAATTTGTTTTCGATAAAAATCTGATGAAAGATTTCGATTTTTGGATCTATATAGGATAGAGTTAATTACATGAGGCTCCAGTACTTGGATAGTTGGATGGTTAGTCATGGACGCAATTACGAAAACTTCATTTTTTCCAAGTCACTTTAAAACTGGCAGCCCCTGATCTTAGTTTTAGTTTGATCGTTGATCCATGACAAATAGATCATGCCAACTGATCGTGCTAAGAGCTTTCCCATTGAAAATAGACCCAAGCCTCCGTCTCATTATTCACAAAGTATGATTTAGGAGTAAATTGACTCGGGCGTCAAGCTTTTCTTTGATTTACAATGTGTCCGCCTTTGTAAATGAGCGGATTTGGGTGCTAAGTCTGTTGATCTGACCGGGTAATTAGCAAAGGACTCCCTACTGGTTTAAGAAATCTAAAAGATGAGTTCCGGCGAGGCGAGGCGAGGCACAGTTGCTGGCGATCCCGTATACAAATCAAGTGGAAAAATAAACGATTTTCCAGACAAGCAGAAAATTGGGTGTGTTTATATTTTATTGATTTGCAAGTTTATTGGCTGTATTCTGTAACAAAAAAAGGGGAATAAACGCACTTTGCAAATTTCTGAGAGAGAACTCCGAAAACTTAAGTCGTGGAAAGAGTAAATGCTACTTAAGATGTAAAGTCTTAGAGACCTCATACAAATGAATACGGTAAATGCATCTTGCTATTCGCAAACGTTTTGAGACAAAGACAACAAAATATATTTTATTCAATCGCCATTCCCTTAGGCGTCGGCGAGACAACTTAAGCTCCCTGGTTTTCACATTCTGTTCCCACGTACGAAAAAAACAACATCAACAAAGAGGCATTGTTACCATTGACAAGGTTTTTTTTTGTGTAATATACATAGCAAATTTTACTCAGACTATTTTGTTGGTTCAATCCAGCGGAGCATCGCATGAGAGCAACCATTATTCAACACATAAACAAGTTCCTACTTTTGTAGATGTGATGTGATGTCGGCGAGCAAATGCACACTTTTTCCAAGCAAATAAATGTGTGGCTGTCAATTTCGATTTTCGAAGCATAGGAAGGTTTGAGAAAAAATAAAGCTCTCAATGCGAGAGTAGAAAGGGAGAAAAGAGAGGGAAAAGTTTGTTTCCTACTTTTCCATAATCTTCCCTTCCTACTTTCACGCTTATACCAAAATCAAACATGGCGACCGGCTAAACCTGACTATCATAAGTGTTAGTGTAAAACGCTCATGAGATGCCTGCAAACCACGATCTTGCATGGGACTAACACATGACGTGAGGGAAACAAGACGCCGTTGTGGAACCAGAAGAACTTTAACAAGGTAAAATATAATTGTAAGGCTAAAAAGATTTGTCTGCAATCGTAATGTGTTTACATCTACTTCCTTCCTAGTCATCTAACATACAGATTGGCATACGCAAGTAAAAGTTTTATCTGCAGAGGTAAATGAAACATTTGTATACCTTGTGGTATTTAGCCTAAATTAAGGTTAGTTCATTTGAAAGTATAAAAGCGTGGCAAGCTTTTCATTAGGTAAGAAAAAAAATTCATCTGGCACATTGTTTTTCGTCGGAATCGCGTGTATTAGATTAAAGAGCAAGTAAGCTCGAATTGGATGTTTTGTGGGCCTGTTTCATTTTCGATCCCTCTGGCGACAAAAACAACAGCAATGACAACCTGGCTTCATTGCCATTTACAACAAATTCTTTGTTTAACATAAATAGGAATTTTACGCCGACTGTATTGTTAATCTAATCGAGCAAAACATCGGATGATGGCAGCCAAGATCGAGTTTATGGACTGGCTCGTATTTAGGCCATCATGTTTCCTGATGATATTGCTCAGAACCCCGATCGTTTTATCTCATGATCATTCTGACGTTCGGTACGGTAAAAAGCTGTTGTTTCTTCTTGGCATTATCATTACATAAGAAAACAATGCAAAGGTACTTTAAATAAAGCTCGTAAACAACATATTTCAAGCAATTAGTTAGCCGGAGCATGTAATAATAAGGTTCTCAGAAAATCGAGATCAAGAATGAAAAAAACCGGAGATAACGACAAATCTTGTTTGTGCACATCCGTCCCTAAACTGTCGAAAACTGCAAACGAAAAAACCTTGTTCATTATTCCATCAAGCTAAGACGTCACTAGGTTAACCTGTGACGTTAGAAGAAAGTTAAAATAGTACATTGACTCAAGACGTGCGGACAGGCCGGGGCGAGGAGGTAATTTACGAGAAGATCGAAATCATATTATCTGAACTTGAAATACACTGTAAATAGAATTATTTATTGGCGTCTAGTATGATGTTACCCGCCCCTGATTATAGCACCTCTCCTGAATAATAACGTCGGGTCTTGCAGAACGGTAAACAACAGGACAAAGCACCTCTTTTCATTAGAGTTGGAAGTCCGCAAGCTCGACTACACCTCTGCAAAGTGCTTCCTTCATAGTTCCCTCCATTGACTGACCTCCTCAGGATCTATACCAGGTATGTTTTAATCGGGCCATTGTGCCCGAACAAAATTTAACATATTTCAGAACCATTTATTGTTTTTTTTTTATGTCTTGCCTTTTACGTCATCCTCAGTACACTGTCTGAGAGTAACTACCAGTTTATGTCTGCGTAAAGTCTACGCCAACGCAGAACGACACAAGAACATAAAAACCCTGATTTTGCTCTTCATCGATCTTAGAGAAAAGCAGATATGATTACCTCAGCCGAAACTTGAGACTTTTAGGTCCAATTCTCTATTACTGAGTTACAAAGGTCCAGTTGATCGACTCTTCCATATAATAGGCTCAAATACGAAAATTTTGTCCATGGTATTGTGATCAGCACTGTCGAAATTGTATTGTATTGGAACAGACGCGAGGGAGTGAATTTTTTTTCTTAACTCCTACGCTAGCGAAAAACGGAAAAGCATTTTTCTTTAGGCCACAATCTGAACTAGTACTAATGAACTTTCTAAATCAATTTTGAATATAATTGAGATCTTCACAATAGACATACGAGTCTCTACAAGAGTCATCAAACGGTTAAAGGAAAGCGGCATTTTGCCAATAGCCAGTTATGTTCTGCTTACACTCTCTTTGGTGACTCATAAAAAAACGTTACAGAAAAACCCGCCTCTAGGTTGCTAAAAAGTCGGTAATAATGTTTTAGATGGGCTTAGACATATTAGCTTGTGATAATTTAGTCTTTAATCGCATCACGAGTGTGCGTGCAAAACATCATAGCTTTTGGTCCATCACGATATTTACGTCTCGTTTCTAAGCTGACCCGGTAGACTTCAAACATTCTCCATCCGAGAGTTACTACCGCGATTTAAAGAAGAAAGTCAATTGGAAATGATGCAGATTGGTCACGTTCATAGGAAAAAGAATCGCACCTTTTAAGAAGATCACGAGTTTTTTTTCTTACAAAACATGTCTAGATACACGTTTCTTTCATTCCATGCCCTATATATTCGATGTGAGACAGATCTAATGTGGAGACATACACGTCGAAGTGAAAAACTCCGAAGCTATGTTTTGCACAACAAAAAAAAAATATGTTATTCTTTCTTTCTTTCTTTCGTCCTTTTTTTCATGTATAGCAAAATTCTTTTAATATGGGGTCGGGAACTTTCAATACAAAACTGAAATTAACATGTATCTGATACTATAAAAGGATTCATGAATTTCACCAAAAAGTGTTAATGGCATTTATTCGACCTATATTGAGCCCCGAGAAGTACTCATTTATATTAAACGGGGAGTATAGCGAGACCCCATGTTCTTGTTTTATGATGATGATGATGCCGTTGATGATGGCCTTAAAAGCGGTTAGCTTTAAATCTAGAACAGTTGATGTTTATGAACAAAGTTGAAATTATTCCACATTCAAATGTTGCCATTTAGAAAAATATACCCTCAAGAATACTCTTACCTGCTGGTTTTCATCACAGTCAACTCACACATCCTGAGCGATTATTATCATTCCAAATCACAAATTTAGACAAAGGTACAATGCTTCTCCCCGGCCTTATTATTAAGAAGCCTCTGTCTCAGAAAGGAAGGCCATGATCATCAACCTACTGAAGTATCTTTTAAGACAACATCGATGCAGACTTAACACAATAAAGTATTCAGAGCAGGGAAAATAAGCCACAACTTGACGTCTTATGTTCCTTACAGACTGGTCATTTAAGATAATTTCCCTTTTTTCAAAAGCTTTTGCTAAGCTCGTAAATAGACATGAAGAGTTCAGGAAGGAAGTTTTCAGGGGCGATGGAGAAGGGGAGTGAATTTTCGAATTTTATTTGTTTTGGTTTCTTAGGAATTTTCAACCTGACGAACTTGTTTCTTACATAATTCTATGACTGTAAATTTAAGGGACGGTGATCTCGTTTTCTTCCGAACGAAATGACTATTGAAATTCCAGTAATACTTTTAATGGACACATCAGATCTACAAGGTCTCCATGACTGTCTTGTAAAGTGGATAATAGTTTGACGGCCCTAAATTTGCTTAATTAAAAAAATTAAATTATATGTTTTCTATTATTCAGGTCGTTATTTAAGTTAATAATGACTTGCATGCCGGTTTGATGCCTTCCATAAACAAAACCGCCGGCGGTAAGGTCGGCAAAATTAAAGGCAGGTCTTCCTAATTAACAGCCTAACTTCAACGAAGATTCTAACTTAATTAGACGGGCTAGTATTACACCGGAGGGTTTGCATAGAGCTCGCCTATTCCGTCACTAAACTGAAAAGTTTACCAACACTTGTGTAATTTCCCACGCTGCGCACTCGATCTTTTAAAAAAAATTTTGGGATTTACAACGAAGTCGTAAACATAAACCACGA